TGTGGGGAGTGCTGCCAAGTGGTGTGTAGACCTGACAGTCTCTGGAGCAGGAGGGCAAAGGGGACCTTGGGATGAGAACCAGCTTTTTTCTCCAGTGAAGAAATATTTTTGTGGACTGTTGTGAAAGTTCATAATCTTCCTGGAATAATTTTGAAAAAACATTTTGATTGTTTTTACTGCAAGTAGCTGCATAAGGGGTATACATGTGAGCGTACTATCCGATTCAAATTTTGAAATTGCTGACTTCAGTGGAAGGCTGAAAGAATGCACTTCTGGTTTGGAAAACTTCTTGCCATTCTCTGCTGCTAATGGTCAGCCACTGCCCAGGTTTTTTCATCTTTCTGAAGAAGTTGGATGTATTTGGAATTGAATGTGTTCTCAGAGAATTGCCTATTCTGGCCTGTTGTTGCTATTCTAGTTTGAGGAGCTCTTCAGTTTTGATTTCATAGCTGCCAGTATGGCAGAGATGGAGCATCAGCTGATGTCTTAGGTATGTAAGGCAGTTGCTACCACTTGTAGGTCCATAAAGCCTTTGCCACAGTGCACAAAGAGCTGTTTTGGTAACTACTGTAAATGTGTGCAAATGGCATGCTGCTGGAGCAAGAATAATGCTTGGTAATGAATACTGCCTTTGTAAGGTCTGCCACGTTGGTAGGGTGATTCCTTCTCTTGATAAAGGATTTGGAAGAATGTCCGTAAAGTGCAGAAACTCTTAATTTCTGAGCCTTTGGCTTCCTATTTTCAGAACAATACAGGGTTTTTCTGTGCTTTGACAGCTAGTCAGGGTAGAGCTGAATGTCTGCTCTCACCAGGTACTGCCTACAGTTAAGGACTGTTCAAGAAACTTTTTAAAGTTAGAGATCTGAGGACCTGTACTGACATAAAGCTATTTGGAAACTTGCTTCACAGCTATGGACTTGAAAATGATCTCCTAATGGAGATCATTCATTTCTCCAATTTGTTACGAAGTTCTGGAAAGGAATGTTCAGTCTTTCAGTGGCCCCTAAGGATACCATAATGGATCCTTTTGGCCTTAGGAAAACTTGATGGGTTGCTTATTAAGACACCAGGTTAAGTTTCACTGAAATGATTCGTGTTTGAACTTTATCATGGTGTTTTTCTAGATGGGTTGGTTGTTCAGGTGATTTTTTTTGGTTCTAATTCTCATCTTGTAGCAATGTGGGTGCTGGGCTTATTCAGTGAAGATTATGCAGGCAGATGAGGAAGATAATGTGCACTCATCCCTGCACATGTGTTTCTTAAATTTGGCCTTTTTCATGCTTGTGTCTGTGGCTTTTCCTGCCTGCTGTGCTGGATGGCTGGGTTTGCCCTCTGGCATCTTCCCAAGGCAAGTGCTGCTTGATCCTTGTACAGCATCATTGCTGATTTCTGCAGTGTTCAGGTTACCTGATTCAGCTTTCTAGAGCTTGATTCCTAAAGCTCTTCTAGCATGGTATGTGCAATCACTTTGTTATCGCTGTGATAAACTGCAAAACGTTTAAGGTGAGAAACGTGTATGTATTTTTAACTGCATTCTTTGTCCATGTTTTTCAGCTTAAAATGAATTTTGTAGTCTTTACTCGGGACAGCTGTAAATACAAGGAACTGTTTGGTCAGAAGCACATATGCTTTCAGCTATGCAGATAGTATCAGGGCTCATGCACAGACCTGAAACTGCCTGTAGGATCCTTGTGAGGCAATTGTGGTTTGAATAGAATGAGCTGTACTGGCAGGCTGATGCCTGGAAGTACTGCCTCTCTGTGAGCCCAATTACAGGATTGCAATTGTTCATGCACAGCAGAGGGGGAAAAAAAAAGCACAATCCAAGCAGTGCCAAATTTTCTTTGATATGTTAATCTTTTGATAACAGTTTGAAAAGCTCTTGGAGACTTTTTTTAGATTTTAGACAAAATAGTTCATTTGTCAGGACTTCCCTTCTAGATAGGGTCGCAGTTATTAAGAGCGGCCTCGTAACTCATGATGGCAAATGCAAGTGCAGGGGACGGCTGCTGGACTGCCTGGTGGTAAGGGAAACTTTCCTTTGTCTTGGGGTTTCGTACAGATCTCTGGAAACAGTACAATAGGGGATATGTCAGAAACAAGTTTGTAAGCTCAGTTACTGGTGAATTTTAAGTTGATGAATGATCACAGACTGTAAATGTGTGTGTAAAAACTTAGTGTTTTCATATGTGTGTATGCATTGTACCTCAGGCTTGAGTTGTCACTAAGTTTTATTTTTATCCGCAAAGCTTATTTTAAGTTTCCCAGCGACTGCAGGAGGTCTCAGACTTCTGTTTTTGTATCTGCAGTCTTTAGAGCCCTGGATGTTTTGCTCTTGCTATTGTGAATTTTCCAGTTGAAACGGAAAAAACCTGGAAGAATAAACTGATAGCAATGACATATGCTAGAGCTGAGTTAGTTTTTTAAGGATTATGGATTATTGGATTAGGACAAGTGTGTGGAGAACACTGGGAAGGTCTTTCTACTTCTTTCCTTACAAAGCAAACTTGAAAGATGACATTTGAACTGATTGATTTTTAATTTCTATTAATTTTATTAATTATGCCACCTATCAGAAAGGGGACTTCAGATAAGCTTGTAGGCCTTGCACCTTCAAGTGTACTGATTGAAACTTACTGTAGTTCTTTAACATCATTTTTCTCCATTCATGTGCCACAAATTCACCTTTACCATCTTTACATTTTTGCTACAAATGTTTGTTGCTTATAAACATTCTGGTAGAAGTGCCTGGCATTCTGCTTGCTCAGTCAGCAAAGATCAACTAATAGTTATCAGTGTAGTACCTCAGGAAAAGGTGCAACATTTTCTTCACTGTTGAATGCAGCGTTAGGGCTTTGTGTGCTCCTGTAACTTAGGACAGTCTTCAGTTATTTGGTTTCCTTGGGCATTTCTTCCCTGATTAAAAGCTGCTTAGTGAATAAAAGTGTCAGTTTAAGAAAGAAAAAAGTGTTTTAGAACTTGCATGGCATACCTAACAGTTAAGGAAGTATCAACTGTGCATATCTTATAGCTTTAATTCCAAATAAATCTGCAGTGAGAAAGGTAGAGTTCAGTATTGGACCATAATAGAAAATTTTAGCTTAAAGTACAACAGTTATGAGCTGGTGTTTGAGTCAAGGGGGGACTGCTGGTAAGCGGTGAGCTTCCTTTGATACAGAGCAAAACCAAAGCTTGATCGAGCACTGAATTCCTGAAGTGCTGCATTTCTCATCTGTGACAGAGCTGTGTGTGGTGTGTTGTCCTTAGCACTGAGTGTGCATTTCTTCCACTAGAACCTTTCTCAGAGGTGAGAACAGATTTCTGAGGAGCCCTGGATTTGAACGGCAAAAAAAAAGAAGGTTGTTGGATTCCTGCGTCACTTGTTGGCTTAGCTGGAGAGGTGACAGTAGCTTGCAGGAGCTGTGCAAGGATACGCTGATGAACTGGGGGAGTGGATTGGAAAGGGCTTTTGAAGTTGATGGTGATGGATGAAACTGTCTCAGTCCAGGAGGTGGATTTGAGAGGAGCTGGATTGCAGTCTGGTGATGTGATTTGTACAAGTGATGAATGCTTAATGATAGCAAGGAACTCATTAACAATTGTGCTTCTGTCATTATGCTACTGAATATAAGTATTTTCAGTAGTTGCCTCCTAGTCTTCATTGACTAGCTGAGGTGAGGGTAAGTGGATGGCTTTAACTGTGACTTTTTGGGGTTTTTTGAACCAGTTTTTTATGAAAAATGACAGTTTCAATAACCTTTATATTAGCTATGCTATGAGAGTGAATTCTTAAGACTACTTATATGCTATGGTAATAAGTGCTGTCTTCAGAGAGATGGATGTATGTGCAGTCAATGAAAACAAGGTTAATGACAACACAGAGAATGATATCTAGTCTATGCTGTGGCAGGTAAGCAGTAGCTATTTGGTATCTTTAGGTGGTAAGTGCTCCTGTGAAAAAAGATAGGGGCTGATGAATTATAAATTATATGTAGTTAACTTGTACAGGAAGTGAAATAAAAGTTTGATGCAGTTTTAATTTCCAAAATTTAGCTTTTGGACTTGGTACTTCTTATTTTCTTCATGATGCTGAAAGTTCTGGTTAGCCTCATAGTAAGTGGTGATACCCTTATGTCTGTAGTTCTTCTCTACTGGAATAGGAATCTATTGAATTGTGTTTATCACATAGGCATCTTGGCATTCTCTTGCTTTTTTGTGGTCGTGTAACTTACGTTTCTAATCTGTCCTTAGAGCACCCCAAAGATTTGCAATTACAATGAATTTACTGTAAGAGGCAAATGTGTTAATGTATGTTAGAGAATCATAGAATGGCTTGGGTTGAAGAGGGCCTTGAAGGTGCCCTAATTCCAGTGCCCCTGCTGTGGGTAGGGACACCTCCACTAGGTAGATCTGCACAAAATAGCAGTGAAAGAACCGTAAAGAAGATAAAACTTAACTAACCATTAAGCATGACTTAATTTAGAAACATTAGACTGGGAACGTGAAGACTGTGATTTTTTTAATGTTATCCTTCTTTTCTGTCTTTTTTTTTTGTTTGTCTGTTTTCTTGTTTGTTTGTTTTAACACATGAATTTTTCCTGCTTAGTTGAGAAGTGCACATCCCAGGGCTACAATGCCTTTCCTTCAGGAAAATAGCCTAGCTTCTGAAAGCATCTGGTTGAAGCCATTACAGCATATAATGATAAGAGTGTGTAATCTCTACTTACTTCTAAGCTTTTTTCTTTTTTCACAGTTTTAAATTATGTTTCTTTCATAAAGTTTGTAGAATGTACAAAAAATGTGGTATGCTGCATGTAGAGAGTAACCAAGGTGGATCAAGGTAAATTGCTACAGGAAACTACTGCAGTGGAAATTCAAGATCTATGTTAATATATTGTCATTGTGTTTCATGTGTGTGCACTTAAAGTTAAAACAAGCCTCTAGACAGCCTAATACTTATCAGTTATGTTGCTTCAAGTTTTTATTACTTTGTTTTAAAGGTCTTCCATATCTCACGTTGAGAAGTTCCATATCATACTAAACATGGAGAAGGAAGAAAAGAAATTTGTCAATAAGGCAGAGGAGGAGGAGATGGTAATTAATTGTGCATTCTGTTTTTATACTGTGAAAGAAATGTGTTTCTATAATTTTGGTCTATATATGGGGCATATTCCATCAGGAAGTGCCCTGTCTCAATTTAAAACAAGATTTTTATAAAGTTACACTTTTTCATTCTTTCTGTAATTATGAAATGTAGTCTTGGTAATGTTTTTTGTAATGTAGATAGGTAATGTTTTTTGCTGAAAGCCTTGGCAGAGGTGCTTGGTTGAGGTCAGCAATCAGATAGCAAAGCTGATGTTTAACAATATTTGAAAGGCAAATGGAAGTGGAACAAGGTTATTTTTTCTTTTCTCCAATCCCTGAAGCTTTTTTCGTGTTGATTAAAACAGTTTATTTAATTACCTCAAATTTGGCTCTGCTTACTCTTGCATATTCATGTTTATGTAGTTAAGATTCCACTCCCTGAAACAAGGAGAGCATCTTTGTGGGTGTTTGGTATCATTTAAACTTTGCTTCTGACTAAAGCAAAGATATCTCTTACTGTTCATCCGGGAGGAGTCAGCAGCTAGATTTGACAGAAGTAGTGTCAGCTGATCTTTACTTTTCAAGTCTTCTTTACAGACTGCAGAAAATACTTGGGATTTTTCTTTAATGGTGGAGTTCTGCATGTTCTTTCTTTAAGCACGCTGCTAGGAAAAGCTGCTCTTCATTAGACCACCTTAGACATGGAGAGTAGGCAAAATGCAGCTTACAACAAAAAGTCAAACTGCACTGCATGTGGCCTCATCATTAAGATAAGTCCTTTTTGAAGGGGATTGCTTTTTTATACTTTTTTTTTTTTTCTTCAAAAGAGGCAGTAGTATTTCCTTCTATTCTTCACCTCTTTGTTTCTCATGTTAAGGAGTGAGTATTGGCTCCAGCGTTGTAGGGGTAGCAGAATGGGTTTGGTCTGTTTTTTTGTAAGCTGAGAAGTCTACAAAATAAACCTCTTGAAAAACCTTTTCTTAGTAAAGGCAGTATTAATGCTTAATGAAAATCCCCAGAATTGTGCAAAAAGTTGGTGTTAATGTGAACAGTGCCAGTGGGACTCAATGGGAAACGTCATTGCCATTTTGCAGCAGGAAATACAATATGATGTAATGTGAAACTCAGGAATGTAGCACTGCATCTGGAAAGCCACTGAATTGTGTTCTGTTCCCAGCTCTCATCAGGTTAAGTTGGTACATGCCTTTGACTAAGGCACACTTAATACTTTGTGGGTTTTTTATGGCGAAGATTTTTCCAGCTGGTGCAAGGTGCAGAATCTTGAGAGTGCTGCTTGTAGTCTCTAATGTTTCACAATAGCATTTCTTGTTGAATAGCAGACAAAATAACCAGGTTCCTTTACTCAGTAGTAGTGTTTTACAAGTATTTGTACAGGTGTTTAGAAAACAGTATGAAAATATGTTAGCACCAGTAATTTGAAACTGTGTGTGTTAGCTTATCAAATGCTTATCTGGTAAAACTGACACCTGACTAAAAACAAATACTTGCTTTTTTTCTTAAGTGCTTGGTTGGCTTGTGCTATATGCTGATCATAGTTGTGATGAGACTTAAGGCAGGTTGTGTTACAGCCTAAGTCTTCATGGACCAGTCCAGCAAAGTAGATAGGTTCTGTAGTGAAATGTTTTGAACCGTGTGTACATGCTGCCTTTTTGAGGCTTTAACTGATCTTTGTATTTCTCACTGCGCTAAACAGTCCTTTTTGTTACTTCCCCATCATTTTTTACAAAATGTTTTCCTCCTCCCGAAAAGTAAAAGGAAGAAAATAGATTTCAGATGTATTTCCCTTTAAGTATTGCATTTGATGAAAAATTAATGTCAGTTTCCTAAGCCAGAGTCATTAAGGGGGTCATTGGTGTTTGTTTCTCTGTTTCCGTGCAGGAGATCTATGGTTATGAATTATGTCGTTGGAAGCTGGTGCTAGTTACTGTAGGAGTGATCTGTTCTGGTGGCTTCCTCCTCCTCCTCCTCTACTGGATGCCTCAGTGGCGTGTGAAAGCAACGTGCAAAAAGACTGCGCTTAAAGACTGTGAAGTGGTTCTGCTGAGAACAACCGTAAGTCTGAAGATGGGAGGGTGTGCTTAAGCAAGTTAGGAGTTGTTTCTCATCCTTCTTGCTGTTTGCTGCATTACACAGATTCTTGTCTGTCTGGTAGACACAATTTTGTTTTGTAGTGCTGAAGAACTGTGCTCCTTAGTACTGTGTTTAGCTTTGCTGCCTGTATGAGAAGAGTGACAGCTGTTTGCAGAGGACATAGTGAAAACAAAGTCTTTGCTTTTGGATTTTGAGAATTAAATACATGAATTACATTTTCGTTGAAAGCTGCAGATCAGATACCTTGCTCTTATAAACTGATACAGTTTTCAGTTTTTTGACTCTTCATCAACCATTTTAAGTTTGAAGGTGAAAGTCTAGATCCAAGGATGTGATATCAAATTGTATTTTTACATTGTGGGATCTCTTTATGATTTCATGGTACATCTTCAATTCTTCTAAGTGGCAGAGTGTGTGAAGCTGCACACAGAAATCTCGTTGTTCTTCCTGCTACAGAACAAATCTAGTATTTTCTGAAGGACTGAATGTGTCACAATTCAAGTGCCAGGTTTCATTGCTTAAGAAAAAAGCAATAACAAATCCTTTTAGTTTGGAAAACATTATTTCAGAATTGTGGAATTAAATGCATTCTTAAGGCATCTGACTTCAATTTGAAGTTATCTTCTATAATTATGTTTAGACTGTTATCTGTTGACTCGTTGCTACAGCTACTGTAGTAAAATGCTGTTGAAATGTTGTAATAGCTTCCTTCTTTTCTTTTTTTTTCATAAGGATGAATTCAAGATATGGTTTTGTGCAAAGGTTCGCGTTATGCCTTCTTTGGGAGCCAGTCCTTTACAGAATCCTGACCCTATTGTACACAAGGTTTCAAATGGCCACACTGTTCATTTCTGTGAATCTGCTGCAGAAGAGAATAAAAATTATTTGAAAAAATATTTGCCTGTAAGTAGAGCAGTGCTTCACATGCTAACTTTCAGAGCATCTGCAAGTAGTGTGTGGTGTAAACACGCACAGTGCAGTAACGCATCAGTTATTTCATTTCTCTAAAAGCCTAACAGACTCCTCGGGTAGAAAACATCTCTTCTACAGTAGCCCATTGCTGGGATGTTTGAAATATTATTTTGAAAGAAAACCACTCAGTTTTCAGTAGCTTTTCTAAATTTTCTGTTGCTGTTCAAAATGCAGTCAGTGGAGAGAGAGGTGCCGAGTGGTGCCAGTTTAATACCTGGTCTGTTGCCCTTGCAGATTCGTTATTTCACACATCACAGCGTGAAGTATTTCTGGAATGATTCAGCTCAAAGTTTTGATGTTATACGGTAGGAATATTTCTTTCTTATTTTACTTAAAACTGCATTTTTTGTAACTATTGCATGCCTGAAAGCACTGTGAAAAATAATGCCATATTCTGACCAGCTGTTTTAGCTCAATGAGCCTTTGAACCACTATGAGAGCAGGAAGATTTTAACACAGTGTGACTTCTGGAAATAGAGTTTTTGTTTAATCTACCTTGATTGAGCATGATTTATGTAGGGTAACGTGCTTTGTGCCACCACAGGCTTTTTTTTTTTTTTTTTTTTTTTTTTTTTTTCCTGTTCTAGGAGTGTTAGTTGAGACTATGAGCACCTTTTTGTAGACAGCAGTTCTCCCATAAACTTGTAAAATATTTTCCTTCTGTTGGAATAACTTAAGCTTTTTGCATAGCTGCTGAGCTACACTCAGGAGTACCTTGGAAGAGGGCAATTCACTGAATGCTCGTTGCTCACCTTTATGTAGGTTTGTCCAAGCTGAACTGGAAGCAGTGGCTTTTAGTAACATCAAGTCTCTTGCAGTGATGGAAAACACCTTTTAGTGGACCGTACAAGCTATGTGCTGAAGGTGATGTGCTGTAATTCCTCTTACCCAGCAGCACAGTTCCACGACGTCAGGGTTGAAGATAGAAGCTTTGATTTTTTGACTACTTTTTAAAACAGGAAGTCTGAATGAGAAACATACTTTTCCACATGATTCAAAGTTTCATTAAAAGCTACAAGGAGTACATATAGAAAAAAAGACTCCAGACCAGTGACTGGAGGTAAAATAACTAAAAATTTCTGTGAAACCTATTCTGCAGACAAATGAATAACATGGAAGGTTATCAGCAGTGACAACAGTTACAAGAAGTGATCATCAGGCAGTTATGAAATTCAGAACTCCTCTGGGAAGATGGAGATGTCTCATTTCACTTGTAAATAAAAGCTTCATATACATTTTTTCTGTTAAGTCTCTTAAGTTACAATGGTGCAGGTACAGGGCAAATTTGTACAACGCCACATGGTTAGAAATAAGTGTCGTGCCTCAGCATGAAAGCGATGACTCAAAATTTGGCATTTGCTGTTTGGCTGTGCCTTTTGATGTTCTTGTGATAGCTCAGCCGAGTTGTAATCCCCTGAAAAATCTCAGCTATGCCTGTGAAGTTGTGAGCGTTTGTTCAGTCACATTCTTGCTAATATGCCCAATTTTCACTGCTGTGATATGTTAGGAATCACTCAGCCTGACCAACCACTTATTCAGTCAGGTACTGTAGCTGAGCTGGAATCCACTACTTAACAGCTGGGTGCTGAAGTGGGGAAAGAGCCTCATCTGAGACTAGCAGAGTACAGAGTCACTTTTGGGCAAAGTCAAGTAAGAGCAAGAGTATGGTGTAGTTACTTTCTACAGTGAATTAGTTATGATCATGTAGGGAAGTTCTCGGTATCACCTGGGAAATAGTAATTGAACTTAAGAATGTAAACATCATGAAAAGAATTCTTAAACGTTCATACTGGTTGCCTTCACTGGGATGCCTTTCTGAAGCTGCTGATCAGTAACATGGCAGAGAATCAGTTTGCAAAGAGATGGGACTTTAGACTGAGGGCTTTGTAGTAAGATCCCAAGGCAAGCAATACAGCTGCAGTTGTGTTCTAAGTATAATACTGTATAATGAAGATAAGTCAGTCTGCACAGGCAGTTATGCAAGTATCCAGAAGACAGAATGGTTTGATTTCGTAAACACTAATCACAGTTCAGAAGGGAAGCAAATAAAGATTTCTTGGGCAACTAATTCAGTTGTGAGAGCTTGAGTTTTGTTATCATTGTTCTTATAATAATGTAGCATTAAGAACCCTGATTTAAACACAGGAAATGCAAGTGCAATTGTTCTTAAACTAAATCAGACCTGGCCGTGTAGCCAAAGAGGATGCACCTTTGACCCTGTATGTCTGTTTTGTTTTAGCTAGTGTCAAATGAAACTTTGAGTGAGTTGATGAGTAGTTGATGTAATAAAGTATGTGCATACTGGGATTTTCTTAATCTCTTGGGAATTCAGCACTGCAACACTTAAGTGGAGTGAGGCTAATTTCTCTCATTGTGGACTGAAAACTAAAATAAGTTTCTTTTCTGAGCAACACTGGGAGAGAAGGGGGAGAACTGGGAGAGAGGGGAGGAAGGCACAGTTATTAGAAGAGAATTACATGCTGATCTAAAAATCATGCTTTAAAATCTTTGAACCTGGTATAATTTAGGGAAAACTTGTAAACCCATGATGAAGTTTATTTATTAGCATTTTTATATTCTCATAATGATTTCACCAGAAGCTGGTAGAAGCATAGTTTCTTTGCATAGCCTTTGCAACAGTGAGGGTGTTAAACTTTTTTCCCCATGTTCTAGAGAATGGAAATAATTCTTACTATGTGTGTGCGCAGTAGAAAGGGTATTTCTTCAGTGGGACACAACTCTGAATCCTTTTTGTAGATAACTGAAGTTTTCCAAGATAGTAAAAGACTTGTGTTGAGAAGTGCTCTTTTTTTGTGTCATCTGTGAAAGCCTTTTAAAAGATAATTATGCTTTCCTATGCATCCAAATTATGTCCACTAGAAAAACATGTGGACATTGGATGTGATATGTTCAATTAAGTGAGCTTGTTAGTTCGAACAATTCAAACAATCCTGTAGCTATAAACAATATTTCACACATTCTTTCTTATCTGAGGGTCATCTAATTTACAGCATTGATTTTAACAGCACGTAGGAGTCCTGTGAAGATGAATCTTACAGTGTAAAGGAGGCACTTGGAATGTAGACTGTACTTTGCCTAGTCCTGATTTACTTCATATAATGTCTTAAAAAACTTGTGCACACTTCAGAGGATTTGAATATTAGTTATGCTAGTATTTTAGTTCATTTCTCAAATGTATCCCTACTATTACTGAAATGAAGGTATGACTGTCCTCCAGGGTAAGACAAGTCAACGATAAGGCTTTTAAGATGGCATTTGTATCTACAGTTGTGTGACACAGTAACTAGAAGAGCATTAATTAAGGGTGTAACTCTCTTGTGTTGCTGAATACTTGATGTTTTAAATATCAGGTTTCTGAAATAACTCACTGACTTTTTCCTCTACTTAGAGGATTAGATGACTCTACATTCTGTTCTTCAATTCATAATGAACACAGCAGAGGACTGACAAAGGAGATGCATGATTATAGGTAATGTTACAATATTTGAGGGAAGAACTGCTTTGATCTAATTGTCTCTCCTCATAAAGTTAACAAAATTTAGAAGACAGCAGAGAGTGCTACATAGCTAATAAAGAATATTGGATGCCAGTAGAGAGTGGCATGGCCTACAGTTTCTTAATTAACTGCTAATTACAACTAATTTAGGAAGATACAAATGAAGCTTCCCAGGTTTTGGCTTACATTTTAAAAGCTTAGTTAATATGAGGGGTTTGTCCCATAGTTTGCATGGATGTACCTGTGCTTGGTTGGAGCTAAACACATTTCTGCTTCTTAAAGTTAGAGTTAGCAAGAAGTAACTGGAGAAAGTATTTTGTTTGTAGCATGCGATTTTAGACTAAATGTGTAAGCATCCTGACAGGGAGCAAAGCTTTGAATGCCCAGTGAGAAGAGAATCTGAAGTGTAGAATCTGAATCCAACCAGCTGGAGGATGTATTTTCAAAATGTTTATATGTACATAAGCTTTGGTGTTGTAATTTATTGCTGCCTAAACTAAACAGCTTTGCATTTTGTTGCATTTCTGGCTTTTTTCCCTCTTTTCCGAGTCAGACCTTCTCAGTTTAAAATATGGCAGCATATTCTTGCTCCTTCCATTTTCTATTGATTTGTGGCTTTTTCTTCAAGATTAATGTCAGTCATGTCAATCTTACTAAACCAGATCAGATCCCATCAGAGATTAGTTTTTTGCTTTCCTTCTCATGATTTGCCCTTCTTTGTGCTGTGCTTAAAACTAAGGTACAGAACCATGAAAACAGCATCTTACTGCAAGGCTAAGAATTAAAGCTAGAGCTTAAGTTGGCGAAAACCACATACAGAGTTTCAGAATGATATGATTATTAAAAGTGGACCTAAATAAAGTTCTTAGAGAAATCTATGAAAGAACCTAAAATACAGTTTAAATTGAAATAAAAAGTAATTATATTCACGTTGGAAGTATGTAACATCTCATTGGACAGGCATAATGGTAAATGCCTTTTGAAACAGTAAATGTGATAAAAGGGGCCATGGATTAAATGATATTTTATCATTTTCTGGTATTAATGGAATTAATTCAAAATGAATAAGATCTTTAAAAATTTTAAGTATATTTTTTGGTTGGTTTTAATGCAGGAAAATGTTCTTTGGAATAAATGAAATTGCTGTGAAAGTGCCTTCCATTTTTAAGCTTCTGATTAAGGAGGTAAGATCATTTTTTTTAATGAACAAAAATGTGTATCATTAAAAGTCATTTTAAGTGCAGCGATTCTTAGACTAGTATTCAAATGATAATGTGAAATGAAAACCTCAGAGAGCCCAGCACTTGTAAGAAAAATGATAGGGAATTTTATTTTTAAGAGCTCCAAATCTGCAAGGCCTTTGCTCCAAACTCTTTGCAGTTCACAGTGTGGTGCCCTAGTAAGGGCATGAAAAAAACATGCCAGGGATTTTTGAGCTGCTATGCATCTTGTTTTTATGGTTCATTTCAGACTTGATGGTGAACACAGTCAGTGGCTTTATCAGCCTGGGTATTTTACATTACAGCATACTCATAAAATCTGATGTGTTCTTGCATGTGCGCTTGATTTGCTTGTTCCATTTCCCTTTTATAGTATGAATTTGAGTAGCTGATTTGTTATCCATGTGAGAATAGGTGGTAGAACGTTTTGAACAATGAAATTCTCAAAGCTGAGCTAACGGATAAGAGTGTTTATTAATAATTAAGAGGTGATAGCTTTGAAAATAAGAATTTATTATGCAACAGATATACCTATCCTTTTTGCTTTGAGGTGTAGGGGAAAGTGCATACAATCTTCAATACATATATTTGCATGCTATTTTAATGAGAGCTACTTTTGGAGGGCTGAATTTGTGAAAAAGAGGGAGCAATTTGACAAAACAGGCAAAATCCACGTTAAAAAACAAAAACATTTGGAAGTTTTATCTCCTCTCTAGAGGAGAATTGTTCTGACTCTTCTGAATGAGAATGCATGTGACCATTTGGTTTAACTTCAATGTTCTTTCACTCTTCTAGGTTCTCAATCCTTTTTACATTTTTCAGTTGTTCAGTGTGATATTGTGGATCACTGATGAATATCACTACTATGCATTAGCAATTGTGATCATGTCTGTATTATCCATTGTTAGCTCACTCTACACTGTTAGAAAGGTAAGGTCAACGTAAACGTGCATCTTCTCAGCTTTTTATTTACCAGATAATTTTTATGTGGAAATTCTATGAATCTTTTAGAATTTTTCAGAACTATACACATAGAATCTTGTTACGGATTTTCCTTCTTTGAGTTGGATGAATTTGGATCTACAGTTCTTTTTGAGACAGTTTTCTGCTGACTTCCCACTCTTTTGAATCAGATTGACCTGCCTCCTTCTCAGATAACAGAAATGCTACCTCACATAAAACTCAGATGCAACCACATGTATTGGATTGTACTGACAATATTGATTCTTTCTTGCATTGTTCCCTCCTCTTTGAAAAAGTCCAGTGTAACTGAGGACCACCCAGACTTGTGGATTATTAAATCAGTGATGCATTTTCTGTGTAGACTTAGCTGTAGTGAATGGAAAATGAAGTAGTAACTATCCTTAAATTGCAGTCTCTTAATAAATACCAGAGGTGGGAAAATAAATAATAATAAGGTTTTCATCAAAGTTTATATAAATACTGCAATTCTTTTGTATAGAATCATAGAATCACCTCCAAGATCGTCCTGTCCAACTGTCCACCTACCATCAGTATTTTCCCACTTAACTACTCTCTTAGCACAACGTCTAAACATTTCTTGAACACCTCCAGGGATGGTGACTCAACCACCTCCCTGAGCAGCCCATTCCAGTGCCTGACTGCTCTTTCTGAGAAGAAATTTTTCCTATTGACAAACCTGAACTTAGCACAGTTTGAGTCCATTCACTCGAGTCTTATTGCTATGTATCTTACTGAGCAAATGTTTTTATAATTTGCTTGGCAGTGTGTATTTTGTTCCAAGAGTGCTATTGAAAGTAGGAATCTGTACAGGCTGATTTACTTGAACTTTATTTGCCTATAAATTTCCTAAACTATTTTGATACAAATGCTTAAAGTAATATTTTGCTGTAGAAGAATTAGTAAAGAATCTTACAATTTTCACTTGTAGAAGTACAGTATGCATTTAGAAGAGGAGAAGCTGTGTTTTGAAATTTTGAACTGTTTTCTCCTCTTTGCAGCAATATGTTATGTTACATGACATGGTAGCAGCTCACAGCATTGTAAGGGTTTCTGTCTGCAGAAGAAATCAAGGTAAATTTCACATGCTCTTTGGACAGTTGAATTTAAGTAGCTTATTAAATATGAGCTTGAACTTGATGCACACTTGTTCTTTCTCCTGCTTGTAATGTTTGCATTTCGTAGCAAAATTGCATGAGAAAAGAAGTTGCAAAGTGGAATTGAAATATGGTAGTCATCTGTTCAGGATTATTCTAGATAGCATTTTTGGCAAGTGTCAGATTTGTGTTTTGTAGGGTACTTCTCTTTGTCATATCTACCATTCCAGGTCATATCTGCTGCCTTCCCAGGTTTGTGGTTATCATTGTAATATCTTTCTTGGTCTAAAGAGGTGCATGCATTGGATTTCCATTGCAGTTTATTAACCAGCAAAGGCTGAAATTGATTTCTGGACTTCTGCTCATTTGGATACCACAGTAGCTGAAGATTATTAGGTTACAGTGTGTGATATTGTTTTGTAAGACATGCCTTTCTGTTGTTCTGTCTTTTTAATGAACTTTATTTAATCTTCTGTATGAGCTTGACTATTTTCATTTGTTAGATAAACTATACCTATGTGCTCTAGAAGTTAATCTATAATGGCACTGGTTTTATCAACATGTTAGGGGTTTTTTTTTGCCTCTTTTTGAAGAATTTTCAAGATGCCTCTAATAAAATGGAACACAGTGTTAAATATCACACAAACTGTGTGGATCTGTGGTGATTATTTTTGTGTTCCTTCACTTAGAAATTGAAGAAATCCTTTCTACCAATCTTGTGCCTGGAGATATCATGTTGATTCCATCTAATGGGACAATTATGCCCTGTGATGCAGTACTTCTCAGCGGTACCTGTATCGTGAATGAAAGCATGTTAACAGGTAAAATAAACCTATTATGCTTGTATGGCTGAAGACATTTTTTACCTGTGTGCATGCTTATCTTGCAGCTTGCTCTACAGAAGTGAGTATATTTATTTAGCTCAAATGTTTATGTTCCTGCCATTGATTGCACTCATCAGTACTTAGGCACTTAATGCAACAGGCACCTGGTACAACTTGGCAACTCCAAAAATGATTAGTAGTTTCTTGTTGAAAAGTTTTCTTCTTAATAGTGAGTCCTCCTGCCTCTTGACTTGCTGTTCTCAGTGTGGATTGGATTCTGCAGTATGTTTCTTCAAAAAAAATTTAGCACAAACTTTTTAACTGCTTCCAGGATGATGGTAGTGAGTAGACTGTTCTACTCTGTTTCTTAAACAAATGATTACCTCAATAAGTTTGTGCCTGCATGTTCTGAAACCTGATGTCATCGTCAGACAGCTTCAATGAATAGAATGGCCTTCTTGTTGTTCCTAGGATAATGTGGCAGGCTGGCAGCATTGAGAGAATTGCAGTTCAGAGGTGCGTTTCATCACGTTCGGGTCCTTGAATATATCCAAGCCTCATGCTGCTGCCAGCAACAGATAAAATTGCTTGCTGCCCTGGTCTGAATATACTCAGTCACCAGAGGAGATCAGAATAATTTCCTTCAACTTTTGGTTTTTCTGAGTAAAGATGAGGAAAGGAAGCTCGTCCTGTTTTCTTTGTGAACTGTATTTTGCACTTCTCTGACTTCAAGTAAGAGGGACAAATTCAATAAGGGAAAATAGAGAATAAGATTAGGTAGAATTTTGATAAGGAACCTGGTGAGCGGAGATCAATAGGTGAAAGACTGCCTAATACCTGTGTTGAAGTGGGATTGTACTTCTCCACTTGAAATCATGAAGGGAAAATGTGTGTTCTTCTTTGATTTTGCTTAGATACTGTTTATCCATTTAAGGTGAAAGCGTTCCTGTCACGAAGATTAATCTACCAAATCCTTCAGAATATCCAAAAGCAACGGGAGATGAAATATACAGCCCAGAAGCTCATAAGCGACATACTTTGTTTTGTGGAACCAATGTGATCCAAACCCGTTTTTATACTGGAGAATTAGTTAAAGCTCTGGTAGTGAGAACAGGTGAGAACGGACTTTTAAGCTTATCACTTATTAGTGTAACACTCAGTTTTATAGCTGCGCGTGAAGTGACATTTCATTTCATTGCATTGAATGTTGCTAAAGCATGGATAAATGATTATAACCCAACTGATTTGATAAATGCCTGTTGCTGTGCTAACAGAGCTAGATAATGGTGTGGTGAGAATCTGTTGGCAGACAAGAGAATGACTCAATCTTCAACATAAATTTAAAACCTGGTTGTATTTTCAAACCCTTTACGTATATTTTTGCAATGTGTTGCACTATGTATGCCTCTTTTCAGAGATGTAGGGTGCTGTTGGATTGGGTTGATGGTGGGGAATCACTTATTTTAGTGGAGCTGTTGGCAATGCAAAATGCTTTTCTTGCCCAGTTTGTCAGTGCACTTCACACTTGCCTAAGAAACCTGAGCATTTATTTATTTATTTATTTATTTACAGAAGGGATTATTTTTACTAATATTTTAAAGCTTTGGCTTTTGATAGATGGCTTCTTCTATTCAAAACAGCTACACCAACTGTAGTAGTTGGAGATTCTGTTTTATGAAGGCGCTCTTGAATTACAAAGCATTTGTGGTTAAGTACTCTGTTACATAATGGCATGCTGAACTCTGAACAGGTCCATGATTTCTCTCCTGCAGTAACAAATTCAAAGCCCAGATGCTTCAAGTCTTGTTCATCTTGTAACGAACTCATCCTCTTTAGGACTGTTGAAATAGCTCCTTTGTTTTGGTAGAATTTTGTATGCCAAATGTTGGCTTGGAGAGCTTAGTGTTTCCTGTAATGCTCACAGACTTAAGAGAGGCTATCAGGGAGCCAGTACACCCAACAGTTGTATTGGGGTTTTAGTAGTAGACTTGGAAGTCTAAGCATATATAAAATGTTTCAGGCATACAAGACTTGACACCAGTTATGGCCTTCCCTTGTATTGAGGCAAAAGATCAAAGAAAATCTCAGGGTGTCTGGTCATCTGACTCTAAGCCACAAGTCTGCTCTCCTAATGTAAGCATCTAAATGTGATCGAGCGATTATTTCTCTAAAAGACAACTCAGTGCTCTGCAGTTTTCTTGCGAATCTCTTTTTTTCTGACTGATAAAGGAGCTTATGGAGACTTACCATTTAAGTACTTACATTTGGACTTTATGAATAACTTCATTTTCTTTTTACAAGGACTGACACTTCCAGCTAGTATATACACCCACTGAGTTTGCAGTTTGAGGGACAAAATACAGTACGACAAACACTTTCAGGCCAAACCATTTGGGTGTTTACTTTCCTTGTAGAAGGGGGTAGATTTAAATCAGCTCTGTGCTCTTGCCATCGGAGTGAAGCACTTAATATGAGCACTGTAATTTAAGTATTGCAAAACATCTGCTACTGTCTATTGGGAAACAGTCTTAATGAAATGAGTAGCTTAAGGGTTTCATTGAGGTTTTTAATATATTTGAAAAGCTTTGTTCTTGTGTATGCATCTAATAAGTCACTCCTTCTTGTTTCTAGGCTTTAATACTGCTAAAGGACAGCTTGTTCGTTCCATACTGTATCCAAAGCCAACTGATTTTAAGCTCTACAGAGATGCCTACTGGTTTCTCCTGTCTCTGGTGGTGGTGGCAGGCATTGGGTTTATTTACACAATTGTCAATAGCATCTTAAATGAGGTATGCTGTCATCTCACTGTATTTGTGTCCAAAAAAACCTTATTTTAGAAAAGCATTGATTATCATTTCCAGCACTTTGGATAAATAATTGGATTTTAAATTAAAATATCCTTGCTTTATTTTCTATCAAAGAAACAAGAAAAACAAGCCTACTGAGAATAAGATTCAGTAAAAAAGCAGAATATGAATATCTTGTGATGTAATTTGAGTGGGTTACCAAGTCAATCTTCTTTTACCTTTTGGACATAAAATTGCTATCTGTCTGATTCTCAGTTCAAAGAAATTTCATACAACAATTCTAAAGTGTGCTATGGGTGGAAAAATCCCTATTAAGATGTTGCTAACTGATAGCTCTAATTATTTTCTTTCAAATTTTTTTGCATTGTTCCGTCAGTGCTTAAAAGTTATGCAGGGGAAAGAGAAAACTTGAAGTTATGGCTTGAGGGTATATTAGGACTGGATTATCATGGCTGTTTGTGGTGGGTGGAGATTATGCTAGGTTTCTAGGCAGTCCAGATCCTGTTATTCTAGGGAAAACACAGCACGAATTTTGCTTTTGCTGAGAGTGAGAGGACAGTCTCTTTGCTGAGAGTGAGATAGTGACACTGAGCTCTTGTTCGTTAACTTTGACCTCTATTGCAGGTTCCAGCTCACACCATCGTCATTGAATCTCTCGACATTATCACGATCACGGTGCCCCCAGCGCTCCCTGCTGCCATGACTGCAGGCATCGTTTATGCACAAAGACGGTTGAAAAAAATTGGCATCTTCTGCATCAGCCCTCAAAGGATAAATATTTGTGGCCAGCTGAATCTTGTGTGTTTTGATAAGGTGGGTGGAACTTTGAAATTTAGTGTTGCTAAGAGGAGGCAGTGTATAGTAAGAGGGAATTCATAGACTGGTGACTGCTGAGAAATGCGTTACTTCCATTTGGGTGTAGGTCACCTGTTAACTGTCAGGTATTCAATGTTTACTGTCAGTTACCTCCCTCAATTTAGGATCTGCTGTAAAAAGTTTATGTAATACATAAATTCTGTCTCATCTAAAGACTTCCAAGTCCTGACTGACACACCAAAATTATGGGGGTTCTGTTATGCACAAAGGCTTCTGGAGAATTGAACTGTGAAGTCACGCTCGTTACTCATATGAAGTTACTTAAATGAAGAGTCAAACCAATGTTTAATTGTTTGTTTTTTAACAGAAGCACAGTTGAAAGACAGAAACAGGTGTAGCCAGAGTCCTCTTCTGTTTTCTTCTTAGATGTTTTTCTGAAATCTTAAGAATCCACACTGAACTTACTATTACAAAAATATTTACAGGGAAAATATTTGTTGTGAATGTGTTTCACCTGCTGTTTCAGTCATGCAGGAGAGTAGTACTGAGGGTTCAGTACCTGTTTTCTTCTGTCACCGCTCTCCAAAGGCAGAGAATACTGAGCTATCATGTCAGGATTTTAAAGATCTGTTACTTTGGTCCTCAGGTTGGTGCTCTTTCAATGCTTTTTAAGGTTTTGTAACAGGAGCCTAGTTACTAGCAAACAGCTAACAGGCAGCTATTTGTAGTTTCAGTTTTTAAGTGAAGATGAAATAAAATGTATTCTTCAGGTGTGATACAGCTCATGAACTTTGAATTTGTTTTTACTCAAGGATAACTTCATTCTGAATTTTTTTTTTTCTCTTCCACCTCCCATTGGTTCATTTTGCAGACTGGCACACTTACTGAGGACGGCTTGGATCTTTGGGGAATTCAGCGGGTGGAAAATGCTCGGTAAGGAGAACAGTTGATAGCAGATTTGGTATTTAGTTGTTCTGTAGCATCTTCAGCAGGGGAAGATTTAATTTGAGCTCCTAAGTTTGCATTTCTGTTAGAAGCTGTATTCTGTAAGAATGCAACTGAAAAAATGTTTTAGATGTACTGAAAGTTATAAATCAGAAGAGGATGAGGGAGAATTTAATCGGTTAAAATCTGAGATCTCATTATCTTCATACTGAAGAAACAATGTAGTTAAAATACAGCATGTTTCTTTAGCCCTGTCCTCCTAGTGATGACTTTTTGGGCTGCTGAGATGAATTGGCTTAGCTAATTGAATTACATTTAAAGTGACAAAGCCTCTGTAGAAGGGGAGTCAAACTGGAGTATGAATTAATATTTTCGAATCAGTTGGGAGTTCTGACTATTTCTAAAGGTTCCAGTCTAGAGACTAGATCCGTCTTCTGTCATGTGTGAAAATAGTGAAGAAACTTGTGCAGTCAATTATCCTGTTAATCTAAACAAACCTTTTGAATTGGCTCATAGTAAATAATTATAGTGCTAAGTATGTTATAACTTCATTGTTTTAGTTTCCTTTCGCCGGAAAAGAGGGCTTGCAGTGAGAGCTTGCTGAAGTCTGAGTTTATTGCTTGCATGGCAACTTGTCATTCCCTTACTAAAATTGAAGGGGTGCTTTCTGGGGATCCACTTGATTTGAAGATGTTTGAAGCAATAGGTTGGGTAAGTGCTTCTTTCATTCAGAATAAGTCACCATTTTATTAATTTTTAAGTGTCAAATACAAGCTGTGGTATTGTGTGACGTTGTAATGGAAAAGTAGGCTTTTGATAATGCTTATCTGTCAACGTGGAAAGGAGGCCTTAACTTGAAAGTGTTTCTAAAAATTACACTGTTCAACAATTCATAGAAATGAAAAAAACGTGAGCAGCTCATTTACTGCTTTTGATGATGTAAGGATTGCAGCAAAGGTTTACTGTGTACAATTAACTTGTAAAATAGCTGAATGAGCCTTAGGTTAACTGCTAAATTAGGACATTGAACATTGAACTTTCACAACAAATCATTGTGCTTTGGGCTCATTTCCAAGACTGTTTCCTGGAAATTACGAAAAAATAGAAGTTAATGAATGCATTAAAAATGATCAACTAATTCATACAGATTTTAGAAGAAGCAACGGAAGAGGAGACAGCACTTCATAATCGAATCATGCCAACGGTGGTGCGACCTTCGAAACAACTTCTTCCAGAATCCAAGCAAGCAACCAATCAAGAAATGGTATGTAGATTCAAAGCATTTTGTCAAATTAAACTAATCCTCTAAATTACACAAGTATGTTTTAGTGTATGCTGATCTGGCTGATATTATTCAGACAGTTATGGAATTGTTTGGTGGTTTTTCTTGATGGCAAAAATAGAGAAGACGTGTTTTAGCTGTTGTTGCAAAAAGTGGCTCAGCAGATGGTACTGTAATAGATAAGCAGACTGATTGCCAGCACTGTGACACCAATAGACTGGTTATAGAGTGCAGTAACACTTTTTGAGTTCAGACGTTTGAATATTAGTATCATTACCAAATTTTCAGTGTGCTAATAAAGTGCTTTGGTGAGCTTACTGTGGTTCTTGCCAACTGTGTACCTTTAGAGATACGTGTTTTAATGTCAGTGCTGAGTTAAATAAAATGTACTTAGGATGTTATTATACACAAGGAATGCAAGCAAGAACTCTAAGGTAGCAGGAGGACATACAGCAAGTTGGTTGCTTTGTGAGTTCTTCTGCAGTGGCTAGAAGCTTTTTTGTTGTTCAGATCTCAGAGTACACAGACAGCAGTTATTACTGTGCAGTAGCTAAGAACGTTCTTGGAATTTGCTACATGACTTTTGTGTTACTCTGTAATAGTGACATTGTTCTGGAATGCTTTGCTACTTTAATAATTTACATGGTTTAAGTGGACACAGGTTTGACTGAAAAGTCTTACAAATTCTAATCAAGATCTAATATATCTCAATTAAAGTAAAAGGTACTTAACAAGTACAGTATATCCATGTTCATCGTTTGTTCCATTGCAATCCATTGCAAATGTAATGTGTCTGAGGGTGCTGTAAATATAAATTGGTTTACCAGTTTATGTTACCAATATTAAGTTTAAATATTTTATATTTGGAAAAATACTTAATTATTTACAGGAATTCTTTTTTTTTTTCCCTTAGGAATTATTTGAGCTTTCGGTAAGTGCTGTTGGTTTTCTTCTTCAATCAGTCATTATTTCTCAGAAGTTGTGGATGTAACCCTTTTGTTGTTCTGTTCCCTGTTACACAGACCTCTTATGAAATTGGGATTGTGCGCCAGTTTCCATTTTCTTCAGTTTTGCAACGCATGTGTGTAATAGCAAGAATTCTTGGGGAGAAGAGAATGGATGCTTATATGAAAGGTGCCCCTGAAGTGATTGCAAGCTTGTGTAAGCAGGAAACAGGTAAAGGAACAACCTGATTTTTCTCTTGTGCAGCTCAGCTGTGTTATGACTAATTTTAATCATTCTTAACTTGACCTTTTTAAAGTTCCTATTGACTTTGAGAGTGTCCTGGAAGAATACACTAAGCAGGGCTTCCGAGTTATTGCTCTGGCTCACAGAAAATTGGAGTCTAAACTTACATGGCACAAAGTTCAGACCATTAATAGGTAAGAATGGCTTTGCTTTTTTTTTCTTTTCCTTTAAGCTAAATAACAGCAGGCTTTAAAAACTGCACGCTTTGGAGTAATCCTGTTATGCTTAGTTTGGTTTAAATCCGATTACTCTTCTTCTTTAGCTTGTTTTTGTCTTGCTATGCAGTTCTGTATGTTCATTAATTGAACCCTGAGCACTACGTAGGAACTTAAGGAGGTCTTCCTCTAATAGTGTTACAAAAATTTAGAGTGGCAGTAGCATACACAAGACCTGTAAATGCACTGAGTTTCATATGAAATGAAGTTAAGGGGTCATTTAATTAGCTAATGACTGTTAATCTCCCTTACTTTGACAATTTACTGGGGTAGTTTGTATGTTCTGATTCAGCTAATCAGGAAAAGAAATTAGACATCCATTCTAAACAGTTGAAAATTTGAGTGAATGCTGTATCAGAGCATTTTTTCCAAGAGCAACCTTCCTTTTGGGGAATGTCAGATCTTTTAGAAAGAGTTCTGATTGAAAAACTAGGCAGTTGTGCATGAGAAGAAACAACACTTTCTTTTGTTATTTTCAGTGTAAACAAGGGGAATGAGCATAAATGAATGGAAATGGTGGTGTTCTCTTGGATCGCTTTTAAAAAGTGAATTCTTCACACTTTGCACAGTTAAAATAAATGTCTCTTTTATTTGATAAGCATAAGGTCAGGTTCTTTAAACTATGTCAAATAATTGTAATTCTTCCAGTGTTCTTTTCCTTGCCTCCTTTCATACAGAGATGCTATTGAAAGTAACATGGATTTTATGGGGTTAATTATAATGCAAAACAAGTTAAAGCAAGAAACCCCTGCTGTACTTGAAGATTTGCATAAAGCCAACATTCGCACTGTCATGGTTACAGGTTAGTGCATAAACATTCACATAACAAAAAAAAAGTTATTTTTGAACAGATTTATTTTGAATGTAGTGTATGAAGTAAAAATGTTTGTGTTGATACACTGGGATAATGCTATGTTTATGCAAGAATGACATCCAGAAGCTGTTATGAAACTACACATCATTTTGGTTAAGAGGTGCTTTGGTAAGTCAGAGGTCTGAAATCATTAAGGGGTTAATTCTACTTTGTAGAATTAACATATTAACATGTTACTTCTTATTGAATTGAAGGATGAAGAACCTTGAACATCTTTGGACTAGGCGAAAGTTCACGTCTAATCTCATAACTAGGTTTTAGCAGGAGTTCTTACTGTGTGACCTCCTGAGAGTCCATCCCTACCATTCCAATTTAATGTATATAGTACATTACTTCATTTTTAAAGTTATTTATTTGTTTGTTTGTTTTGGAAGAATGGCTTCTTAACCTGCTTGTAGCTTTGGGTTTGTCTGTGCTATTTTCTGTGTAACGTTGGTCTTTTTTAAGTCACAAATATTACAACTTATAACATACAGGACAGACAAATATAGAGTTGTAATTGGGGGGCAATAGAACTCTGAGTTTGTCTTGTATGTACCATTTTTAGCTGGGAGTGATGCTAGTGAGTGGAGGAACGTAAAGGATATGATATGACATCTGCCTGTGACTTGTTTGGCTCTAAGGATGTCAGTGGTGTATTAAACAGCCTTCCTCCTGCTTTAAAACTGGCTTCGTTAGCTTTTTCTTTTATGTTGAATATGGATGTATTGATCCTTTAACTCAAACCTTTCAAAATGCAATTCTTTCATAGGAGATAACATGTTAACTGCTATCTCTGTGGCCAGAGATTGTGGAATGATTCTACCTCAGGATAAGGTCATTATTGCTGAAGCACTACCTCCAAAGGATGGGCAGGCTGCCAGAATCAACTGGCATTATGCAGATACCCTTGCAAGATGCACTAGTTCATCACCAGCCATAAACTCAGAGGTAATTTGATTGTCGCTGTGCCCTTAGTGTATAAACACTTGGTTTTGCTGCTCAGTTTCTCTTTGTCCCTCAACTTTTTATTATTCTGTTAAATAGGAAGTCTGCCATTAAGTGGCAACTCTAAATTGCCGTACTGAAAGTAGTAAAACAACATGGGGAGCTAGTTTTTAATTTGTTTTTAACTTCTCTGCAAGATTTGGCTTTTAGCTGTGCAGATGTGGGTTTTTTTTCTAGTTTTCAATTTGAGTCTGCTTTAGCTACATGTTATGGGAACATTAAGCCATATGTTCTTGTTATTTAATAAATGCTGTAATAGAATGAGACTTTTTTTTCAAGGGAAGCTCATAGAAGCCTTCACTAGAGTGAATAATCCTCAAGATTATTGTTATTATTATACTGTGAATATGCACTACATGCTAGAAAAATGCACTACAGCTAGAATATTAAACTCCTTTTGATAGGATATTCCAGTTAAATTGGTCCATGAAAGTCTTGAGGATCTTCAGATGACCAAATACCATTTTGCAATGAATGGAAAGTCATTTGCGGTTATTTTGGAGCATTTTCAGGACCTGGTACCCAAGGTGAGCATTTTACTTGAATTTGGGTTACTTTTAATGAAGAACAGGCTTGGTCTTCTGAGCACTAAGAAATTTCTCTCTTTCAGCTTGTGTTACATGGCACTGTGTTTGCTCGCATGGCTCCTGATCAGAAAACTCAGTTGGTGGAAGCTTTACAAAATGTAGAGTAAGTATTTCTTTCAGTATAGAAGGTGGTGGTGAGAAAAAAGCTGATGTGTGCTGATAGCTGTTACACCAAATGAAAAAGGTTGGGCTGAGATAACTTCCTAGGGTTGGTGAATAAGCCCATTAGCTGGGCTGAATGAGAGTACAGCCATCTGCTGGTTAGTTGTGAATATGTATGCTGTACAAGCTTCATGAAATTGTAAGTGATGAGTAACTAAACCGAATAGCATATCTATAAATCTGATTTCTTGGCTTAGTGAGCGAATCTGTTGAGTGACATGTAGGTATTGAAGAAGTACTAATGTGATGCCTTGTGTTCACTTACTGTCAGTGCGTTGTTAGTCAGTGTCAAGGCTCAAACTGTTCACTTTGAGACTGTTGCTCACGTAACTGTTTCTTACCTTTGTGGTTTTTCAGAAGTTTGGTGGTTTTTTCATAGACACTTTTAGGGTTATCTTTATGAAAATGTTGTTTCTGTATAAAATAGTAGAGAAATATCAACTTACTGAGATAAAGATGCTTTAGACTTTCTTGGGATGATAGGTGATAACTACTATTGATTTGATTGAACTGGATAAGTCACATTACTTTTATCTGTGTCCTTATATGTATAATGTAAACAGTGAGTGCTTTTAGCATCTCGGGTCACTTATGGTTGTACAAACATGGAATATATCAAATAATGTAAAAGCACTTAATGAAATCAGTTAAATGGACCGTGACTGGGAGCAGTCCAGAACCCTAACATGTATTTGTTTTCTGTAGTTACTATGTGGGCATGTGTGGAGATGGTGCAAATGACTGTGGCGTAAGTACATTTTTATTTTGCATATGGAACTGCTCAAGTTTTTTAGCTGAAAGCATGCTTTAAAACGTTCTCTATTTCAATATGAATTGGCAGGCACTAAAGAGGGCACATGGTGGTATATCTTTGTCTGAACTTGAGGCTTCTGTGGCATCACCATTCACTTCCAGGACACCTAGTATTTCCTGCGTGCCAAAGCTGATCAGGTAATGCCACCATGAACGTAAATGTATCCATGTCACTCATTCTGTATATTCTGTGTTAATAATATGTTTGATGTTATAGTAGGCCCAGCTGAATTAAAGGACCAGCCATACATTTTTCGTAGTTATTTCTTTACTGAAAGTGATTTGAATAGGGAATTGCAATAGCATGATTAATTTTGTTTTAAGTCCTGTCTGTGTAAAGTTCATTTTAAGAGAGGGTTGTACAGTTTTAGTACTTTTGATGTCTTTGTTACTACTGGAGTTTCCATAAAGTGTGTGTATGATTGCAAGTGGTAAAATTGTTGAGATAGCCTTGCTTCTCAGCACCATATTAAGTAGAAAATAGGTTTCCTCTGTGGGGTTTGACCAATTTTTGATTCTAGAATTGGAATCCAGTTAGTAGTTTTGGATAGAGGTCAGCCAGAGAAAAATCTGTTTTAATCTGCGTGGAGCTGACAAAGTCATACATATGCAGAAGCACGTCTGTGGCTGGCAGTTGTGAATGCGTTTTCACTCAATCCACATAATAAACTTGTGCTATATAGAAGCATTTGCCAGCAGACTTTCATTTTAAAAGCTTTGTTGGAAAACCACATGAAATCAAAGAACACTGCGGTGTGGTGGTGGCTCAGTTCAGAGGGCATCCTCACAGCTCTGCACCTGAAAGTGTACCATTCTGACCCTCCTTTTCTCTCCATGTGTCTGAGCACTCTGTCTTCACGCTAGTGTTTCTCGAAAGGCTTGCTGATGTAGTTAATTGCAGTTAATTAAACTGAAGTTTCTGCTTGCTTGTAAAGCTTTCTAGTCACGTGACTGCATTTGTTTTGACAGGGAAGGCCGTGCTGCTTTAATAACTTCCTTCTGTGTATTTAAATTCATGGCATTGTACAGCATTATCCAGTACATCAGCGTTACTCTGCTGTATTCTGTAAGTACGTAGTTGTGATTAAGCAATGTCAGTGTAATTCAGATTTGAAAGCTCCTACTTATAAACTGTTGCAAGTCTCTTTGAATACACAACAAGCACATTCAGAAATCTTTCTTTAGATTGAAAGTGCTGTTAGTCACAGTACTTGATTTTAATGCTGTTTGAAAAACATGCTGTGTGTATTTTAAAAAGGCTGTAGTTAATGTCTGTGAGAAGAAAGTTGGAAGTCCAGATAAGTTCACTAAAAATGCATTAAAGAATATAAATACATTATTTTAAAATGATCAGCTTTAAATTACAAAAAAATGTCACCTTTGGCTTCTTGAAACTGGAATTTTCATATATTCATACTTTGGGAATTGATCTGTGAATTGTACTCAAGATCTGCAGGTAAAGGAAGCCAGGTTGGAAAGAGAGTGATTTGTTATTGGGTGGGTTTCACTGTAAGATGCTCCTTGGTGTTGAAGCAGTTACTGATGTTTCAGTTCTGATTTCTCTCTAGATCCTGAGCAATTTGGGAGACCACCAGTTTCTCTTCATTGATTTGGCAATCATTTTGGTGGTTGTATTCACTAGTAAGTATTATGCTAAACTGCTGTTGGTGGCTTCTGTGAAGCAGTTTTTGCATTGTCAGATATTCTTTAAGCACTTACTGCTCATTGGAATAAGCACTGTGATGTGCAAAGGTAAGATGTTACAACTATTGCAGTATTTGTATTGGAAAAATAACAATAACCATTGTACTGAATCAGATTCACCTGTAGTTTGTGATATGTCCTTGTGCAAGAAGCAGGTCATGGGCGTAAGCTTAGAAAGGCAGTTCTTCACAATACAGGAAGTCAGAAATCTGGAGTGATGTAAGGAAAGTGTTGTTGGAATCAAAACAGTATTTGTTCCAGCATGATCTTTCTCAAATGTTTTGACTTCTTGTCTTATTAGTTGAACTTCTGTCCAGAAAGTGTCTATCTATCAAACTATCATCTAATGAAGTACTTCATTTCACCTGTGACCCTAGCACTCAGTTTACTGGTTAACACTAGAATTCTATTTTTCAAGCTCAGTGAAGCTGCTGCTTTGAAGTAATGGAGGACTACAACTGAGGAAGCTAGTTAACAAGTGCTTGTACCAGATAAATGGGAAATGTGCTGTAGAACCTTACAGTTGCCCTATCTGGAATTAGTCTGGGCACACTGCCGGTTACTTGTCACATGGTTTCTGTGTTGCCCCCAGCTGCCCAGTGCTACAAGGGGTAACCAGCTTACAAATGGCACTGTGGCATTCATGTAAGGTGGTACAATCTCGGTTGGGTGGTTTCACGTTTGCAGTTTGGGACTATGGAGGTGAATTTTCCAAGTGTAAAGTGTGAGATGTCATGAGGAAGCCATTTCAGTTCCACAGAGTATGAACAAGATAACTCTTGAAAATCATAATGATGCAATAGATGGTGTAAATTTTTTTCCCTTTTGCAGTGAGCCTGAACCCTGCTTGGAAGGAGCTAGTTGCGCAAAGGCCTCCATCAGGCCTTATCTCAGGTCCACTTCTGTGCTCCGTTTTGTCTCAGATCATCATCTGCCTTGTTTTCCAAACTGTTGGGTTTCTTTGGGTCAAGCAGCAGCCCTGGTTTGAACGTTGGACACCAGAATCTGAGTAAGTGTTTCAGTGATATTTTAAAGGATTTGGTATCAATCAAAAAGGAATCGCTGGTAATGCTGTTGCTTTTATCCACCATTTTGTAACTGCAGCTTTTCTGTTGCTGGCCATTAGTACCTAATGTACCTAAAAGCATGTACCTAATAAATAGATGCTGTCCAATGACTGAAATGCAGATTTGGGTCAGAGCCAGACTGCAGGGTCTGAAGATTCTTCAGACGTCTGAGATCAAAATTAGAAGTTCATGGTTGAGGCCTATTTTGACTCTTTTATACTTATAAAATTTTGTTTTCCTGTCTGAGTTCAAGTAAATTATATTTCTGAAAATGAAAGCAATTTCATATTTTGTTACTTTGCCGTATTTTCTTACCTGTCTCCCAAGTTTGTATAAAGTGACAGTCCCTAAACAGTTCATGAAGGGATTTTACCTGCTGAAAGCACAAAAGAAATTGAAGCACAGAATTCACAATTGCTGCCTCCCTGCGTCAGGCTTGAGCTAATTCTTACTATCTATAGTAGGTTTTCAGGATATGCTTTTTTAACCTACTGTAGTGATTTCTTTCATTATTCCTGCTAACAAGTAGGATTCAGCCTTCTTTGGCTTTTCTTCTTAACTCAGTCTTAAATGTTTATGTTGCAGTGCATGTAATATATTGGATGCCACAAACATCAGCTCTGCACACGGTGGGAACGAGACTCTTGATGATGAACATAACATTAAAAATTATGAAAACACAACTTTGTTTTTTATATCCAGCTTTCAGTACCTCATAGTTGCAATTGTCTTTTCAAAAGGAAAGCCCTTTAGACAACCATGCTACAAAAATTGTAAGTCCTTTCTTACTATATACAGTTACATATTTTAAGGTATCACATTATATGTAGTTAAGAAAAAAAATCCATGTCACTTTCTTTGCACGTACTCATCCATGGCTTGCTTCCAATTCCACATCCAGTTCAGCAGCAGTAAGTAGGAGAACATAGTACAATCATCCTCTGATAATCATAGTCAGAAATAGGGAAGTATCAAGCTGTGTATGGAGAAATTTGTGTTAATAATTATTTTGTTTCTGTAAGACTAGAATATCTATGTCTTCAAAGTAAATTACGTAAAATAAACTTCAAAAGAGGACTTGATTGAAAAATCCAGTTCACTTCAGTCAACTATTGCACTGGGTGAAGTTTTCTCATTGACTCGTGGCATTTCTGGTGGGTTGTTATGACTGAACTCCTTGCTTTTTGCACTAACCTAATCTTAAATTTGTTGGCATGTGTGTTTGCTGCATTTATTTGGTACTGTTAAATTATTTTCGAGGACGTACCTGGTACATTGTAGTAGATTATTACTTGGTTAGTCTGCAGAAATTTGAACTCATCACTCTGTTTTAACCTCGGTAGTAGAAAACTGTGAAAAAATGCTCAGTAGAAAGTTGGGTGCTTATTTGTGATCTAGTAACAAGAGTTTTTATTTGCTTTTGGCTCCGAGTTTATAAGTATGGACACAGATATAAGGCTCTGTAAGTCTGTACACCCATATATGTATATTACACAAATAAGGAGGAAATAAAGTAATGTTGCTTAGTTGACAGCTTGCTGTATATTTCCTTTTAAATCATTCTGGCTTGGTGGACGTAAGGTTTCTAAATCAACCAAGTCCAGCAAGTAAATACTTCAGTCTTCTTGCTCTATCTCTTTATGGCTCATAAAGAGCATGTAGCACAGCTTGTATTGCAAAAATATACCTGGGAGAAGATTATAGGTCAATAATATTTCCAGAGATTAATAAACCTGTGATACACACAAGACCTCTCTAAAACTCTGATTGAGGGATGGTTTGATTAAAGTACGTAAAATACTTTTTTTTTCTTTTTTCTTTTACAGTTCTGTTTGTTACTTCTGTGATAGTTCTCTATGTCTTCTTATTTTTCATCATGTTGCATCCCTCTGAACTTATTGACATGTCTTTTGAGGTAAGATTCAGCAGATGTGTCTGTACTTCCTGGGACAGCTGGCTGCCTCTTGGGGAAACTTGACCCTTCAGGGTTTTAACTTATGATTGTGGACAGGGGAGGTTGTTTCCTTGAAACCCGTGTATAGAGGCACAAGTGAAATGCTTAAATTAGTGTCCTCCTTTCTTGTTAAAACTTCATGTTGAATGTTCAACCGGAGGAGCGATGAAAGACCTTAAAATGTTCTCAGAGAGATAACAAGCATGAGAAGCAGGGTTTTGCAATAAGTATTAGTATTAATTACATCCAACTTTATGTGCCTATGCACTTGTGTATTTGTTTACATGTATGCATGAATTTATAACTTGGAGCCAGTTTTGAGTTCACGTTTTCACTACTTCATGTATGTGGTGTTAATGTCTTGCCAATTCTTCTCACAGCTCGTATGTGTGCCATATGAGTGGCGCCTGAGAATTCTCATCATTGTTATTGTCAATGCAATTGTATCCGTGCTGATGGAGGTAAGAAACTCACATGGAAAATACTTACTGTTGAGTGTTTCTCCTAGGCTGTAGGTTTGGTTTAGGTTTGTTTAGGTTCCACAGCATGCCAGTGGAAGTGGAGCAATGATTTTTAAATTTGCTTTTCTAAAAATGGCCTTCCAGGCTGGACTTAATGTGTCAAATGTTCTCTGTGTTAAAAGCATAACTTTAAAACCCATCTGATTCAAAAAAAAAAAAAAAGAAAAAAGAAAAGAAAAGAAAAAAAAAAAGAAAAGTAGTGAGGAGGGGAAAGTGAAAAGTTGAAAAAATTATTTCAACTATTTCATAGAATGCTCCATATTTATTTGTGTTGTTAAAGGATCTCAGAATAACATATCACTGCTGTATAAAATCCGTCAGGAAGCCCATCTTCATTCAGTTGCATCATACATGCATCTTACTGCTCAGAATAGTGCAGGTCTATCTGTTTAACTGCATAATCTGATCCAAGTGCAAAAGTAGAGATGTTTGAGCAGATCTGCTCTTTTCAGTCCCGAGCTTGTCCAGCATCAGTAGTTCTGGATGTTTTTTACCTCCTCTGCTCTGACTCTACAGTTAACGTGATCGGAAAATCAGCCTGTCTTTCATCCAGGTACCCTTCTGTAGTTTCTGAGAATCTGTGTTAACAGAGGCACATCTGCTAGATAGCCTGAATTCTTAGCCAGTCATTTAGTCCTGTGGTTAGTTCTTCCTGTTGAAATGACGCATTATTTCCAACCTGAACACATTTGGTTTTTGGTTGCAGCCAGTAGTCATTATTTTTCTTCTGCAAGATGAAGAAACCTTTAAACACTATCTTACCCACTGCAATTATCCATTTTTACTGCTAAGCATTTTCTGCAGCTTCTAGTCAGTTTTTCCATTACTGTGTGAGGGATTGCTATCAAGGTAACTAGAATAATGTTTGCTGGGATCATACTGCTTTGGCCTTTGAAGATGACTAATTATTAATTTTAATTTTCTTAATAATATTCTTAATAATATTCTTTCTGATTTATTCTTTCTGGAATTGATTTTCTTTCTGGTTGACTTAAGTTTTCCCTTCTATTCACAACATTACAAGTATCACAACATTAAAAGTAACATCAACTAAAGTTCTTGGGGTACTTTATCAAGTCTTTGAGTTCAGAATGTTGTTCCAAATATAAATTGCAAGGTATATTATTATATTCCCTCCTACTGGAATATAGATTTCATTGTTTTCGCATAGGTGGTAATAACCTGAGCTTTATGTCAATAGATAGAAATAACTTGTAGTTAGTTTTCAGCCCAATGATAAAGTTAATGAAAGGAAATAAATTACCTTACTTAACTTGCAGCTGAAAAAAGCTTTGTTCTGCAGAAGATCTTTCCAACTTCTGTAGGTCTGTAGATGTTTCACAAAAGTTCAGGTAGAAAGACTGATTTTTCACAGTGTGTTCCTCCACGTAGTGTGTGTCTGTTGAGGAAAAACGTTCATAAGGCTCTTCTCCTGGGCTTTGTCAGTTGCCACTTCAGTCTATAAACCTCTGAGCTTCTAGTAAACATGACCTAAGCAATGTATTTCCTGTGAAGCATTTGCTTTCCCCAAGTATTGCGAAACCCATCTCCTCTTCTTCCTCTGCAAGTTTTAGTTGGTATCTTTTCTAGTTACTGTTGTTAGCAGAACAACTTCTTAAGATGATGTGTCACATTCCTTTAAAATTGATTTTTCTATTTTTCTTGCTGTTACTACGTGCTGTAGTGGTGGAACAGAATCATGGAATTTAGTTTTCTTGACATTATTTGGAAGTGTTGCATCTGACTTTCTAAGCCTATTTATTCCACTTTCACTGTTGGCTGAATAGTTTCTTTAGACACTTGTTCTTTGTTCTGCTAAGACTAATTCCTTGGTAACTGCCCTGTAAATGCTTCATCGTGATGAGGTACATGGAATGACTGGGCCTTTCTTCTCTTATCACGCTTCCTATTTGATGCTCTTCTGTCTGATCCTGTGTAGTTTAATTGTTTCCAAAGCAGGAATGATTTCCAAATGTGTTTGTACCAAACCTGTTTTCTGAAACGCTTTGTGAAACTTCGGCTCCTTCCATGTGGATGCCAGACTAGATGTGCAGAGTGTTGCACATTCTTTGTACCAGGCATTAAAATCTGTTACAAAAGTCCAATTAGTCAGCTCCCTCTTTTCAATGGCAGAATTTAGGCAACTGTTAAACACAGATTCTATTTAGAGATCGGAGAGTCATAGACTGAAGGCCTTGAATGCCATGGTTCACACCTTCATAGCTGAGATTGGTCAGATGGGAATAATTAGATGTACAGAATAGAGTGCTCAGTTTCTGCCCTCTGTTCCAAAATCTGAAACAGCTCCTGCTGGTGGCTCAGATTTGTCACCCTCTGGAAGCTTTTCTGTGCATGCCACTGGTGTTTAAAGCAGACAGACAAAGCACAGCTACAGCGTGAAGTATGCTGAGATGTTTTCAGAATGACAGAATTGTAGGGGCTGGAAGGGATCTCTAGAGATCTAGTCCAACCCCCCTGCAAAGCAGGCCCCTGAGCAGGCTGCACAGATAGGTGTCAGGTGGGTCTTCAATATCTGCAGTGAAGGAGAGTCCCCAACCACCTGGGCAGCCTGTTACAGTGCTGAGATGTTCCAGTGCTTAAGGTGGTTTGAAGCAAAATGGCTTCAAGCAGTAAAGTCTGCGGTGCTTCACAGGGTGTGTTTTGGTTTTTTTTGGTGTTGAAACACATAAAGAACGTGTGTTTTTGTTTGTATCAGTGCATGCCGTTTTGGTCATTGCTACTTATTGATGATTTAAAGTATGTGTTCATATTCTTAAATTTCCTCTGAGCACAGAAATGAAAATGTTTATCACTTAAGTACTGACAGATAACATAAGCTCTCCGTTTTGCTTGGCACCGAATGATGTCTAACACAGTATTTCAGGTTTTATTTGTAATGTGCACACTAATAATCAGTGATCATTAGTTTCTTAACTCTTCCTACTCACTGCAATGTCTCACAGAATGTCCTCCTTGATATGATCCTTTGGAAGGTTGTGTTCAGTCGAGACAAACAAGGAGACTATCGCCTCACCATACCCCAGCCGCCTCAGGTTGGAGACGAGTATTTTGCTGTCTTCATTTGAGTGCATGCAGATTAACTCAGTTTTGTCTTTTTTATGATCTATAAGTGTCTGTTGCCTTATCTTAAGCTTAAGACTGTTTAGATTTCTCTAACCCGAGTTTTAGAAGGAAAGGCTTCTGGTTTTGCATTTCTCTCCTTGTTGACACAGAACTCAGCTCTTTGTGCAAGAGCTGAGAAGCAAACCCAGCGAATTGCTTTTAAGCCTATTCCCATTTTATCTTCAGTTTGCTTATTAGCAGATTTCATTGGCATTGTCATAGATAAGCATGATAGGTCTGGGAGTGTCTTGATTTGCTTGGAAGCAGTGCTGCTGACTCTGAGCATAATCCAGCTCTTTACTAGTTTGTTTTTGATGATTTTAGAACAGTAATTGATAGCTTGCAAAAATTGAAGAAAAAATAGTAGATAGAAGTCCATTATCTCTACTACAGGTGGTTTAGTAGGCTTGAGGGGAAAAAAAGCTGCTTTTCAGTTGACTGTGAGTTTTAGTCAAGTCTGCCCCTTTGTCATTAATACACAAAGGAAATGTGTGTGAATCCTGTAGAAACTGGCTTTTTCTGTGTTAAGCCTCTGACTTCCTGCTTTTAGCTGGTTGTACTTGCTAAGAACTAGTGGTTTATTTTCAGCATTAAATTTTATTTAAAGAATTCACTTCAGGAGTGCATTTGCCCTTCCTGGGCTCTTCAAGAACAAATTGCTGTGTGCTCACTGAAGAATAGAGGTTGTGCCTTAAGACTCAGATTCAGTTCACCAATTTATAGTCATTGAGAGCATGAAGAAAACCATCTAGAATATATCTCCATAGAAAAGTAATCCATACAGACTCTAGATACTGAGAAGTGAGAGGAATTGAGCCTTGAGAATGTAGAATTTCTTTTCTCCAGCTACTTAAGTTATGTATGTTTAGAACTAGAAGGTGAAAAACAGGACAGAAAACTTAAGTTCAGTAATTTTGTCTGTTTCTGCAGCTATTTTACCTGTCTGTAGGACTTTTTTTCCCACTGTTGAATGCACTGTTAGGTCTCCCAGTATCAGCAAGTTAAATTCTGCCTCTTGTGGCTGGCTGGATGCCTTCAATTAAACAAGTAATTGTCAAAAAGTGTCTGGAGAATCTTTAGTAATTTTACTAAATTTTATAGACTCTTATTCTTCAATGGTGGCATCATTAAATAGTTATCGTTATACCCCTGTTTATTAAAACTGTTATAAGATATGCATGAAAGCTGCTGTGGACCTTAAATGTTACTATAATGTAGAACAGTTGTTTTTTCTTAACGTGCTTGACATATCATTGCTGCTGTAGTGTAGAAGAGATGACTTGACAGAAGAGCTTCTGTTCTGTACTTTCTAGGTCTAGCAGTCACACAAGAAAATTAGCAGCTTTTTGTTTAGTGATCTACTGTGTTGTTACATTAATTCTTATATGGTATTCTAATTTTAAAATCTGTTCCCTTCTGCAGGAGGCTGTGGATCATTGTGGAGTCTGTTTCCTTTCTTCCCTGTTTGGCTATAGAGAGAAGGCACCAAAAGCCAAGTATATGCATCTAGCTCAGGAACTGCTGGTTGATCCAGAATGGCCACCAAAACCCAGAACAACAACAGAAGCTAAAGTACCATCCCAAGAGAATGGCTCGTATCAAATCATCACTTTAACATAACGGTGGACCCTATGGCATGTGTCTTTAGGAGAACTGAGAAGAATGTAACTTTCAGGCTTTATTTGAAATTGCGGTATCCTACACTTTTAAGTTCTAATCCCGATTTTTCCAGCTGTTTCATCTCTCTGAACCCAAAGTTCAGAGCCTGACATTTTATGGCTGTACATTTTAAAAATGTAGGCTACCTTAGGCAGAACAAAAATGATTGTTTCCTTCCCCCTTCTTTCAAACTCATTATTCCTTAATGAGATGTATTGGAAGAGTTAAACTGCAGGGCAGTTGAAGAGGTTCCTTTTGTTTGCCTGAAGTATCTCAATCATTGTTCTGATTTCCTTACAGGGACACGTGTTAATTGTAAGGCCTATGATGTAATGGTTTCATGATAGCACTAGAGGCATGTAATAACTTTGTCATACCCTTATTTGTTTTGTTTTCTAACATTCACTGCTGAAAAGCTTTGTGCCCCAAGGGGTGCTAAAGTTTTGTTGTGTGTACCTCTAAGTTTGTCCCTGCTGGTAAGGAGTGTTTCCAGCTGTAAATGTTTGGATTTGAAGTTTAGTTTTTTAGTCTACCACAGCAGGAATTGGGGATGCTGCAGAAGCAATATGCTCTGTGCTCAAGAAGAAAGCATGTTCCTTTTGAGTGGGTTCTTAGCTGCTTTCCTCGCTAATCCTTGAGAAGGACTTCAGTGGAGTTCAGAGGAGGAGGCATTTTCCATACTCTCAAAGTTTTCAGAGAATCTAACACTGCTGTCTCATATTTTAGTGTCCTTAGCTATGCATTTCTCCACAGACCTTGTTTTTTTCCAGCAGATGGGCTGGATTATCACTTTGTGGACCATGTTTTATTTGTAAATCTTAAATAGTTTTCCTATTATCTTGAAGTAGTAAGGCCAGAGCTGTTGCTGCAATTGGGTGTAGTGGGAGGGAGGAATCTTTTCACATGCCCATGCTTGGATTTGTGCGTGTTAAGAACGTACGAATTTCAACGAGGCTGTTAGTGACTTAAAGTTGCTTAAGCACTATATGATTATTATTATGAGACAAAATTAAGAGAAAATAGATGAGTTAAAATCTGCAGAGCTATGAAGCTTATAATGGATATCATTTTAAAAAAAAAAAAACACCAAGAAAACAAAACCTTGTGTCACTAATAATGCTGCTTAAGCACTTGGTCTGGCGATGCATCACTTTGCCAGTAGGTGGTGTCAAAACACAAGACCACTAGAAAAATAGATCTGCAAGAATGTAGAAGTAGGCATGGTTTATTTTGTTGTTGTTTATTCGAATAATGGACAAAGTACTTCTCTCCAAACCATCTTCAGCTTGCTGAACTTTCAGAGAAATCTATGGTGTCTTTGAGAAGATGATAACAATACTGACTTTGATCAGTCTGTTCTGGCCAGGTGAAACCGACTGATTCGTACTCCTTCCTTTGAGAAGGGATCTCAGATCCAGAGAAGTAATCATGCTTTAGAGAAGGAACTCGTGTCCTTCAGAGGACTTGTGGGGAGAATAGAAGGAGGGCCCTGGCTATCTCTCACTGGCTGGCATTAATTTGAATTATGTGCATTCTGATTTGATTTTTTTAAATTCCTGTGGAGATGATTCCAGAGTTATTCTAATAAATTGATTTTTTTATTCAGGTTGTGCCTAATTTCCCTGTGCTGTGCTGTAGGGCAGCATAGGCAGCATCCCCCCACTGCTCACATTACAGTTTCTGCAGTGTTGAATGTGCTGTGCCAATGGGGAATTTTTAGTGGTGCTAAATGGTTTGGAAGACTTTTGCTGGAACTTGGGGGTTTCAGCTATTAGCACTGCTCATAAATATGCTTCTGTGCTATCCGCCAGTCCAGCTGTCAACTCTTTTCCTGATATTTTTGTTTGTTTTTGGGGGTGGAGTGAGAATAAGGGGGAAGTGGTTTTCTTAGCGTTCATTCACCAGAGCGATGTAAAAGTCGTATTTTCCTGGCTTCTCAGTGTCACAAACATCGCACAGCATTGGTAGCTTTAAGGGGTCTGAGATCATGGACAAACTCATTGATCATGAACCTAAGTCAGTTGGCCAGTTTTTGACAGTGCTGATTTTATGAAATCTCTGCAGCACGGAGTAATCGATGAAGAATAAATAATTCTAAGCTGCGTAAGTAGCATTCAAATCTAAAGAAATCTGCTTTAGCTTACAGCTGTTGTGAAGCTTTGCATCTTGGACCTGGGAGCCCTTCAACGCATAAGCTGCTGTGCTTCGTTTCCTTGATCATTTTAGATTGGTTGTTCCATCAGAAGTGAAAGAATGAGAAGTCGTTCCCTTTGATATGCTTTTGCTTCACGCTTTCTCTGATCTGCTGATTTCTCTCAGCTTATTTGGTTTATGAAGCTAACATTTCAATCATTATTCTAATTTGTTAGGTGTACGTATTGGGTGAGGAGGGAATGACTTATTCTTGTTTCCAGAGAACATGCTAGGGAGCTCTTATTAATAAAACCAGAATTGCCATGTGTTCTCTACCTAACTGAGTGGTTAATGGGTCACGAACCTGTTGCACTTGAACGTTTTGCAAATGGATGCTAGTTTCTTCAAGGTTTGCATTCAGAATCAGTGAATGTTCTTGAGGTTGCATGCTTGAGCTCTGACCTATTTGCTTCTGCCATCTAGTCCAGGATAATAAATCAGCTTTTCCTAGAACTTCTCTTGTTGTAATGGCAGCCACAAAATAAGCTTTTGCATCCTCTACAATTACTGGGATCAATGCCTTTCTGCCCAAGAGCTGAATTTGGCCACCTATAATTTTTCTCATTTTGAGCAGTTTAGTTTTTCTGGTTTTCAGAAATGCATGCAACTGCTCTGATGTAAGATGAAATTCATGTTGTAGTGAAAAATCTCTTCTAGTGTTCATCTTGGAAGTCTAAATTTGGACAAACAGACCAATTTGGTGAGCTCCAATAGATATTTAGTAGACATTTTCTTCCTGCTGTATATTTGGGCCTTATGTTGAGGAGTTTGATTTATTATTAAATTATTTGTGTATGTAGGCTTTAATCTGTACGTATTTTACTTTGATGTATTAGGATTTGTAAATAAACTGATTTTTAAATATAATTTATACACATACTTAAAGGACTGGTCTACCCAGACGAGCAATTGCTAAGTAATAAATGTTACTTTTTAGAATTAAATTGCAAGATCATTAAATTGTATATCCCTCAGGGTTATTTTTAAAGGTTTTTTTTCTTCCCTTTGGACTTCATTAGCAGTCACTAGTTTCACATAATATAGAGCTAAATCTACTGTAGAAAGAAAATGCTGCGACCAGCGCTCGAGTAGAAGCAGTTCAAACACCCACAGAACTGGCTGTCCACATTCATTGTAACTTTAAATTGGGAACTTTTACTGTTGCACTTTTAAGAAGTTGTTGAATTTTTGATTCTATTTATTTTTTTCCTTTGTGAAGATTGCGCTCAGCAGGCACCCCGAACTGGGGGAGCACTCCTGCACTGCGTGTGTGGATACATACAGTACCATAGTAAGCAGATGTGGAGTCCTTTTTCTTATGCTGCAAATGTTTACTGCTCATGTTGGTCATCATTGCAAGAGCTGAAGTTCTGTAGGATTTCTCCCATGAAATTCTGAATTGTAAACTTAGGTTTTTGTATGTCTAAGGGAAAGCTGGGGGGTTTTGACAGTTTTTAAGTCTTGAATATGTTGATTTTATACAGTAAAGCTTCAGGTTTTTAGATCTATTTTCAACAAACTGCATCTTCTTTGATAATTACGTGAGCTGGAAATTACTCAACTCATCATGAATTCCTCAGTCCTAATACAGATTAAAAGAATCATCATTACAGCACTCTCTAGAAGCTCAGCCTCCTTTTTGTTTTTAAACCTGAAATGATTCTGCATCTTTGTATTTAAAATATGTATTGCTGCTCTAGAATGGTACCTTGTCAAGAGGCATACATAAATAATTGTATAATAGAATTGTAAATAGTCTTGTAAATCATTTTTGTGACTGAAGCTCTTTGAAAATAAAATTAAAGCAAACAGATATTTTAACTCTTTTCATTAGTTTCATGAAATTCTTTTTAATCACTCGTTATACAATTAAATCTAATGCAGGGGGTGCCAAAGAACGTAGGTTTAACTCCTGCTGATGTCACGAATTTTCCTATTCAGATCCTTCATGTTCTTGAAGCTGGGAGCAGCGCAGGAAGCGTCCACGTGCTGGCGGTGTGTGACAGTGCTGCTACCTGTGTCAGGGTAACATGATCTCACTTTCACCTGGTGGCTTATGAAAGCCACTTAAAAGCCAGACCTGGGAGGTGAGAGATTCATTCCCACCCTCTCTATCCAAATGGTCTTTGTGGCCTTTGCAGTGTGAGATGCATTATCTGAAAAAGATTCTTGCATGAATTCTCCTAGTTGTGAGCTGTTGCTGTTGTCACAGTCATCTTCAGAAAAACCGTGCTGCAGTGAAGGCATCTTTTCCACCTTGCAGCTCATGCTGTGTTTAAACATTTATTGACAGTGCATGTTACTTCCAGTTTGAAGACAAGGTGTTTCAAATGCCTGGTTAACAAAGGACTTAATTTCAAAAACTTTCAAGCGAAGATTCTGGTAACTTACAGCTTTTCTCTCTTCAGAATCTTTCAGGCTTTAGGTTTCGTTGGTCTGTGAGTGTAGAAGACCCAAAGGAAGAACAGAAGCCCAATGGATCAGCTCCAGTCTGCTTAGCCAAAGCATTCCTCACATTGCTTTGACTCCAATCCTGTGAGAAGGTAAAAAAGCAGCCTTGTGAAGGTACATATCAATTGCATTTGATTGTTTGAAATGGCTGCATTTCTTCCTACAGAATTTAATGCATCTGTTTAGTAGACTGCTGTGAAGCGTCTAACAGGTTTGAAAATTCTTTCCAATCATAATTCATTCAGGAATTCAGATTTCTGACTAACCAAATTTGTATTGTGCTGGTTAAGGTCCATGTTGTGCTGTCAGACGTACCTTGTGTTGTTGGATTTGTTGAGACTTCAGATTTTCTCCTGTTTCCTGAATGATCTCAACTTCTCCTTTAGGAGTTTCATACAACCTGTGCAAACTAGTTGCTTCCACAGCTTGTTGTAGGCAAAATCTGCTTTGAAGCTTGAAACGTTCATTTGCTGTTCACAGCAGTTAGCAGATGTGAGTGAAGCATTGTTATCTAGAGGATGCATTTTGCTGTTTCACTTTCCATTTCAAGAGCAGAGTCATGGTGAAGCCTGATTGCCTGCTGTGCTTCTAAGAAGATCCTCTAAAAAGCAGAGAAGTTTCTAAGGCAGAGTTCAAAACTCTTTCTTGCATGTTTCCAAATTAATTTGAGGATAAACAAGAAAGTTAGCAACCATGAATGCAGTTATGAATGATGGCAATTAGGAGGCGAGATAAGATTCCCAGATTGTATGGCAGCTTCTTGTTTGACATAAAGAGAACTTTGGAAGTTTGGTATCTTGAGGCTTTTTTTTCCTGACTTACTGTGTCATTCAAAGAGCTCTGGAAAGCCCAGTGAGAGCGAGCTTTGCAGCACCACGCTGCCGGTTGATAACGCCACGTGCCCTTTGCTTTCCTTCTCTAGGAAGAGATGCTAATTTTACCAGCCTTCAGTTCCCCGAACCAAACCAAGAATGTATTTTTTTTAATTCTCCCTGTTAGTTTTCCTTTGACGCAGCAGCTGGGTTTGATCGATAGTTTTCTGCTCTTGTCATCAGTTCAGGCACAAGAGAAGCACGTGAGAATTTGAGACCACTGTCCCCTTTCAGCCCTACTTACTCCTTTTTGAGGGGTCAGGTTTGTACCCAGGTCTGTCTGTCGGGTTCGTCTCAGCGAGCTTCATCCCCGTCCCTTAAAAAGCAGCAATAAATGTGGGTGTGCTGGGATGGTGTTCTCCCATCGTGGTGGTCTTAGTGCTGAAGACTGACATAGTTACAGCAATTCCAGTCCTGTCTGTGGCAATCTCAGCTGCTGCTTCTCCTGTGCTTCAGCCAGTTCCTTGATGTTCAGGTTTCTAATGTACTTGGACTTGTTGATTTCACTAAGGAAGTAAATGTAAACTGTGAAGGGTTTATGTTTGACTCGGTCTTTCAAATATTATCATTACAGCTACAATGGTTTAATGATTGCTTTCCTGTTCGGGAACTGATGCAACTTTCAGAGTTTTGACTGTGTTTCATGCTGACCTACCTTTATTCATCCAGCTTTCTAGCCGAGGTCATAACACTTCATTCCTTTCCTTTCATTATCTATAATACTTCTGGTAATGTGGAGTACTGTGAAGTTGTTCAAGTGAGACTTGCTGATTATCAGAGGCTTATTGCCGTCCTTTGTTAGATAAGCTCTTGTGTATTTTTTTCAAAAATAGCCTGTTGCTCCATGTGTGTTCTTGAGCTTTTCCAAGCAGCAATCGCTTCCAAGTGCTGAGAAATGGTTTTACAGAGCTGTGCGGTGTGTTGAATTTGACCATATAATATTGCAAGAGTTGTAGGATGCCCTTTTTACCTCTGTTATCTGTTTTTGCATGCTGAAACTATACTTTTAGATAACCAACAATAAAAATATTATTGGTGCAGGGCTGTCTGATCTTTTAAGACTTTCTCTGTACAACTTAGCAGTGATACCTTTCAGTTCAAATAAATACGTCCTTTGACTATTTAAGCAGTTTCATTGTGATTCTCATATGCTTTAGTCATCCTTGGCTAGTACAAATATTAATAAGGAGTACTTGATTTACAGAAGAGCTTTATCTGTACTTCTCAGTGTAAGCTGAACTCCTTCGAAACATTTGCAGTCAGCAGCAGTAGATTTTGAAGTTGGTTTTCAAGCCAAGAGAAATTTCAGATTTTATGGTGTATTCCTACAGCTTTGTCTGCTGTGTTTCTAGCTGCCTGTGATCAAATCCTGACACTCTCTCATCTCTTGTAACAGCTGATGTTTCTGGTGCTTCAGCAAGAATGTTGGTGATTCGTTTGTCAGTAGTGATCAAGCTTTTCTTCCAGCTGGAGGCATCTGTTTGTCCTGAGAAATGCGACTGCTCTTTCAAAAATGCGATTCATTGCTCTGGTCCTCACATAAAAGACCTGGAATCATTAAATCTTCCTTGCAATATGACAAAAATTCACATAACAGACACTAACGTAACGTACGTGCGGGATGTTTTTGCTGGGATGGGAGAACTGCAGCATCTCATCTTGTCTTCAAACAACATCGCTCTGATTTCACCACTGGCATTTAAAGGCTTGAGAAGGCTGAAGGCCCTCAAACTGCTAGATAACAATCTGGTTGAACTTCCTCCAGAAGTGTTCAATGACACAGTACAACTTCAGCAACTGATCATTGAAAATAACAGGCTGAAATCCATCCAAGAGAATCTGTTTGACAGACTAAGCAGTTTGGAGGAGCTTTTCTTGAACAAAAACCAACTCAGAACACTTCCCAGTGGTGTGCTGAAGAAACTTGCCAAACTCAAAGTACTGAATTTGTCAAGAAATTCTTTGGCAGTTCTGCCTAGAAATATATTTAGTGCATTAACTAAGCTCGAGAAGCTGATGCTGTACTTTAACAGGCTCTCTTCAATAGAGTCTGGTATATTTGATAGCCTGAGGGAGCTGCTGGAACTCTTTCTGCATTCCAATGACATTCAGTCTATTGCCCCTGATGTATTTCATCACCTTCATAAACTTAGAAGCCTAACGCTCTCCAGAAACAAGCTTGAGATTTTGCCCCCTGGGCTCTTTCTGCACTTGCGTGATCTGTCTAAACTGACCTTATATGGGAACCCACTGAAGTCTCTTCCAGAAGTGTTGTTTGGAGAAATGAGGAATCTTGGTAGCCTGTGGCTGTATCACACAAAGCTCTCAACGATACCAGATTTTGTATTCAGTAACTTGACAAATTTGGAGCTTCTTGTGCTGAGTTTTAATCCGGAGCTTAGTGTTCTTCCTGAGAATGTGTTCAGCGGTCTGAGAGAACTGCGCGGCCTTTCTCTGCACACAAATAATATTTCCAGTCTGCCAGAGGGCATCTTCCAGAGCCTTCAGAAACTGCAGAACGTTTCCCTTTTCAGTTCCAGGCTTCAAGTCCTCCCAAGAAGCCTCTTCCATAATCTCAAGCACCTCCAGAAAGTTTACCTCAATAGTACTGAGCTGCGGTCTCTTCCTGAAGATCTATTTACCACTTTACCTGAGCTGCAAGAAGTCTACCTTGATGACAACCCTTGGAAATGTGATTGCCAAATTCTTGGCTTCCGAGAGTGGCTCCAGAGGAGCACAGAGGTCGTAAAAGAAGCACAGTCTCTAATGTGTGACAGCCCACTCTCATTAAGGAACATTTCTCTTCTGGCTCTAACAGATCACCATCTGAAGTGCCTGCCAACCACAGCCATTACATACCAGATGTTCAAGTCAACTTATTCCCAGACTTCGACTTCTCTTATGATGGAGCACTTGAAATCATCTTGGGAGACAACTGTACCAGCAGTGTCTGACACAGATACCGGCACACCTACATCGGTTCCAGGTGTAAGAGCAGCTCCAGGTTTTACCTATTCACACATTGAAGATATTGAAGGCTCTGGCTCTCATTTCTTAGATGTTCCAACTCAAACTTCTCCCAACATCATAGAAACCAACAGCGTCAGAAGAACAGTTGTGACTACTCTTGCCCAGTGGGACGAATTACCTGCTTACAGGAGTACCCAGCCCTATTTTAATACCAGAATTGTTTGTTGTCAGCTGTTCTTGTGCCTTCACAGTTTGATTTTAGCTCTCCAGATTGTCATCATTCTGCTCAGTCTGTATGTGGTGGTTAAAACCAGGCAACTCTTGCACTCCAGACATGTTCCTGCTCAGCCTGTAGTTCTCATAAAATTTGTAAAGAAAGGATTAGAAACGTTGCAATGAAAGCATTTTGGACAGTTGGCTTGGTTCTCCACAGCAAGGACCATGAACACTTTGTCTCTACAGTATAACGAAAATGTGCTTTTATCTACGTTTGCCAAAAGTGACTGCAGTCACTGCACACTGCGATGGCACTTGGTGTGCAAAACACAGATGGGGAGCTGAAAGAAAATCCACGTCCACCTGCACACACAGCTCTGCACTTCAGTCAGTGTGCTGCCGCCTTCCTGCATTGCACTGCTGCCCTGCCCTGGCTGCTGTGCTCACACCACGGCCGTGGATGCGGCCCCTCCACGTGATGGCTTGTGAGAGGGAGCTCTCCGTGGGTGAGGAAAACATGCAAACAGCACAGGGAGGTTTACACGGGAGCACAGCTTTAACTGTTGTTTAAAGGTTGCCTGGAGTACTCCAAATATTATTATGCCTCACATTGCCTGCAGTGTTTTGTGTCCTTATTGAGAAAACAAACAGTATTCTTGGGAGGACATGCTGGAAAATAGCTTTTAAAAAGAGCAGGAGAGGGAGGGGAGAGTGGAAGTGACGGGGGGGAATGGTATGATGCAAGTGTCTTTGTTTTTGCCTTCTATTCTCAGCCCCGTGCAGGATGTGTGAGGAAGAAGGTAATGTCAACCATACAAAGCTGATAGAGTCTTCCTCTATCTTAGAGGAAAGATAGATGCTGGTCTAAATGTACACTTGTGATGAATTCTATTGTTTCTTTTTAAAACTTTGTCACGTTCCTGACGATTCAGCTTTGTAGTAAATGCTTTCATCCCTAAATTTTGTCAGTGATGTGAAAAGCATGGGACAACTTGCCCTGTGTTGAAGTGTGGCTTGGAAGCGGTGTGCCATGCAGATACCCAGGGCTCTGCAGCATTGTGGCTGAGTGTCAGCAGGTGCCACTGCCTGTTTGGAAGCTGACCAGGCAGCTGCTGGCCTCGTCCCCAGTTTCAGCATTGAACTGAGCTGTGCTTCATTGGAGTTATCAGCATGCAGGTGTGAGAAAGGCAGATTCAGTGTTAGTATACTGTTCTCATTACCTAGGCTTGCTCCCCAACTTCCAGCCTTTTCAAGCCTCTGATACACAAAGGCAGACTCTAGGTAATAGCGAGACTTTTGGTCTTAATACTTACAAATATTTTGAGTGAGATGAATATCCTGGTTTGCACGTAGACTCATTTGGGGTGGATGCTCCTTTGGTAGCTCTCACTTTCTAGTTTTATCTTAACCGTGTGACTCGTTCTTGAAAGCTCTTCCCTTTTGCTCAGAAGCTGGGACTGGATTAATGAGCCTCTGCGTGTGGCTTCCTGGGTGTGAGATCCAGTGCCCTCAGAGTCCTTTTGGAGCTTGATTTTTTGAAGCAGGGATATTCCTGGGCAGCCTGAAGAAGGTGCTCAACAGGCCTGAGGTTAAGAACATTGGCATTTGCAGCAAGTTTGTAGCTTTGTTGTATGCAGCTCTAGGCAATGAGAATGAACTGCTGCTGGTGTGGAATGCCTCTTGTAGGCTGTGAAAGAAGGCAGTGGGCCTCTGTAGCATTAAATAACCACCATCTTGCTTATGAGGTCTGCTAAACTTTAGTGAGCCAGGCAGTAGCTAGAGCCATCTCTAAAGGAGGAGCAAGCTGGATGGGATTCATGAACAGAAGCACCAGTTTATTGCAGTGTAGCTAAATAAGAAGCACAGAAAGAACATGAGTGCTTTACAAGTGGTGGCTCTGGGTTATTGTCAGCGCTTGCAAGGAGGCACTTAGCACAAATTTAGTTCTTGTTGGACGATTGCACTGACCACTCATTGCCTGCCAGCCACAGGGCTATCATGTAAGTGCCACGCACACATCTGTGTACAGCAGGCAGGGGTGAGTAGGTGAGTGAGGACACTGTACGGCTGCACTGGTCCTTGCTTCCCTTGGTGTGGCTCTGAGGAAAGGGGCTCACGCTTGAATGCACGCTGATTCCTAAGAAAGCAACAGTCTGGTTGGCATATAGCAGTAGTATTGACTTCCAGCTGGCTCTCTGCATGTCCGATCTGCTGTGCGGGCTGGGTGCAGAGCAGCAGGTAAATAGCAGCTGCTATCTATTGAACCTTCCATTGGCTGTCCCAGCCCAAAACCAGGCCAGCTCTGCCTTGGCGTGTCTCCCGTGGCTCACTAGCTGCAATTGCTGCGCTCTGGCACGTGGGGGCTTTGGCACATTGCTGCACACAGTGAGGCACAAGGAGGACGGTGATCTGTCTCTGCATGCTGTCATCGGGCTTTCCCCACTCCTGAGCCAGACTGGGGAAGTGAAGTCAGCAGACAACAAAGGGCTGGAGCAACGGGGTGTTTCATAGAGTCTTCCTTTCTTCCCTCTGATGGAGATGTCATGTTTTGTTCTGCCTCTGATTCATTGCTTGTTGCCCAGCATAGCTCAGTCCTTTCTGGAAATCTCCAGCCTGGAAAATCAGAGGAAATCCTTACTTAGATCCCACCTCTGTTCACCCTGGGGAAGGGGTTCTCCAGGTCAGCGTCACACAGATGCAGCAGGTGGCAGGCAGCAACAAGGGCTACTTGGGAAAAACACAACAAGCCTTCCCAGCAGCGAGGGCTCCTCAGGAAAAGCACATGGCAAGGTTTTCCCCAGCCCTGCTGCTTTTTCCTCACATCCCATCTAAACCTCCCCTGGGAGATGGTGGGGTGGCTGATCACGTCCTGGACTGGGGGTAGGTGCAAGCCACGTCTGCCTGCATTCTGCTTTTTCCTCCTGCTGGGTCCCTGCCTGCACTTTGCAAGCCAACCCTGTGTGCTGCGCCTGCATCCCTTAGTGTCCTCTGCTCTTCTCACCTCACCTCTGAGATAGCAGCTGTTTGAGGACCTTTGTTACCACCTGCAGTGGTGACTGACGAGTCTCACTGTATGCAGCTTGTTTGGAAGCTTGATGCATTACCATCATCACTGCTAACTTGGAGCACAGTTGTAACTCTCATCCCAGCCCTCTGGCACCCTCAGGAGCTGCATCTCACATCCTGCTCCTCCCTGTCCCAGGGGCAAGGAGCAACTGGGTGGCAGCAAACGTGCTGTGAGGCTTTGACCACAGGACCTCCAGCAGAGTGCTCTGGTGTGGGAGCTGGCTGAGAGGCAGAAGCATGGGATCCTCTTGATGATGTTATGGGGAGTTGCCTGAGTTTCTCCCCCTGCCCAGGGACAGCACATCTCACCCAGGGCAGCTGATTCAGCAGCTGTGCTATCAGCATGCAGCATTTCCTAGGGATTTCAGAACTGTCTCAATTTTCTCAATCAAAACCTGAATTTGCATCCCTTGCTGGGTGTTCCTGAGCAGATGAGCCTTCACACAGCCTCACTGTGGGATGCACTGCCACAGCCCTGCTTTGCTGCAGAGAAGGGTCATCTCAGCTGCACCTGGGGATGCTGGCACCAGGTTGGGCCCCCCTTGAGCAATTGCTGCTGAAGGATCCTTGCGTTTTGTGCCTTTGTTTCTCTCAGAAGATAAGAGCCTGGAGCTAGGGAGCAGCTCCACAGCCTTCTTCCCAGGTTGGGTTGGGGAAGGGGCTGGTGCAGAATGAGCTTTCCCCTCAGCCCTGCTCCAGCCTGTCCTGCCCCAGCTTGCAGCGCCCGCACCCCACTCGGACAAGTTCTTTCCGCTTTGGTTGTTGCTGCTCACAGAGGATTTGGCTGCAGTCCCTGCATTCCTTCCAGGCTAGCACTGCCCTGGGCCCAGGCCAAGCCCTGCTGCTATCACTCAGAGCAGCCGGGAGCAGTGCTGTGCATCTCTACCAGCTCAGCCAGCCCCACTGGAGTTTGTATGCAGAAATGTTGGCTTTGAGTCCTGCTCAGGGGGCAGCCCTTCTGTGTACTGTCCTGGAGGGACCTGTTTCCTGGCTATACCCTCACTGCAGCGCCCATAAGTTCTCTGGAGGCAGGATCCCAACTCCTGGGGCAAATGCAGATAAGCTGTCCATAGCTGTGAGCAGCCCTGCCCCTCCAAGCTCAAGCTGAACTGGTTGTGGGGCCTGAGTGCCTGGCCCTGGCTAGGAGCTCTCACAAAGGGCAGGTGGGGGTTAGGGAGAGGGCTGCAGGTGCCTCTCAAATGGGAGGCCACTCCTTGCCACACTCCAGCCTATATATCCTGCTACTCAGCCCTCAGTATCAGAATGACTTGGGTTGGAAGGGACCTTCAAGCCCACCCAGCCCCAACCACCGCCATGGGCTGCTTGTCCCACCCACCCTGGCCTCAGGCAGCTCCAGGAATGGAGCACCAACAGCCTCACCACCCTCTGAGTAATGAATTTCTTCCTAGTATTTAATCTAAATCTCCCCTCTTTTAGTTAAAAAAAAAACAAAACAAAACCAAAACTAAAACATTCCATCTTGTCCAGTCACTTTCAAAAGTGTAATAAGTTGATTCCCTTCCTGCTTACAAGCTCCTCTCAGGTATTAGAAGGCTGTAGTGAGATCTCCCTGTAGTCTTCTCTTCCCCAAGCTGAACCTTCCCAGCTCCCTCCTCCTCCCTGCATAGAGGAAGATGCTCCAGCCTTTTGGTCATTTTCACAGCCCTCCTCTGGCTCCCTCTGGATGGCATTCCTCCCTTCTTCTGTGTCAGCTGCACCACCCAGCTTGGTACCATCAACAAAATGGCTAAGGAGACACTCAGTCCCCCAGTCCAGGTCTTTGAAGAGCACCAGACCCAAGACAGATCAGGGGAGGATATTTTCTCTTTTTTTAGACATTTAAAAAATGTAATTCTTTTAGATACCAATTATTTTTCAATGATACTGTGCAAAAGACACAGGCAGGAGAAAGATGATGGTTGCAACATATGTTCTTTCTCCAGTATCATCTGCAAGACATCATCCACCTGATTCAACTCCAAGAGGATATGCTGGAGTTCCAGGTTGGGGATGATGAGTGAGATAAGCTGGCTCACATTCGTGCACAGGTTTTTGATTTTCTCTGTAATGCTATTTGTATCTCCTTTTGGGCCCCTGCCAGAATCCTATGCCTCCCAGAGCAACTCTGAGTCTCTATATCCTGGAGTCCATCTGTAACGCTATAAAGGGATGGAAAGTTCCACAATAAGAGCAGAGCAGGAAAGTCTTCAGCAACAGCAAATGAGAACATGCCCAAACACAACAGACACAGAACCAAAGGAAAAGAGCTGCTTACCTCTGGAAAGCACCAGGTAGGCAGGAATCCCAAGTAAGAGGCACTCTCACCTCCACTGCCAACCCTTAAATGAGGTCTGGGAAGGGGTGCATCCTGGCTCCTCCCCTTCCATCACTCAGGTACATTGCATGCACCTGAGCTCCCTGGGTTGGCCCTGCCTTCCCACCAGGTGCTCAATCAGTGCTTCAGGCCATGACTCCGCATTTCCACTACACCATCAGTTTAGCTTTCTCCTCTGTGGACTTTCACAGCTTTACTTTCAGCTCCTGCAGCTTAACTTGGCAGTAACCTGTGTGGTTTTTGTGCCAGCACCTCCTGTTCTTGATGGCTTTTCAAAAACTCTGTTTTCAGGCAACAGCTCTAATGCCCAGTTTCTTCCACCTTGCACCCAAAAAATCTCAGTCTGCAGAAATATTCTTCATCCCCACTGCTCTTCTCCTGCTCCTTTATATCAACCTGCTCCTGTGTGTTGAGGACCTGCAGTACTCTGCCTCAAGAGAACATCCCTCCTGGCATGATGCACTGTTAGCAGGGCTGCTGTCTGAATAGGACAAGAGGAAATGGTTTCAAACTAAAGGAGGGGAGGTTTTGACTAGATGTAAGGAAGAAGCTGTTCACACTAAGGGTGGTGAGGCACTGGCACAGGTTGCCCAGAGAGGCGGTGGGTGCCCCAACCATGGAGACACCCAAGGTCAGGCTGGACGGGGCTCTGAGCCCCTGATGGAGCTGTAAGAGTCCCTGTTCAGTGCAGGGGGTTGAACCAGATGGCACTTAAGAATCCTTTCTAACTCAAATAGTTCTATGATTCTGTGATCTCTGCTTCTCTCCACCCTGCTCACCCTTCCTTCACGCAGCTGGGTTTGGCCCCACTCCAAGCCCCTGTGAGAAATGGGTGCTTCTCAGAGCAGGGAGGGCAGTTTGCAGGAGTCAAGAATACCTGGGGTTGTCCCAGACCTGCACTGTAGAGAGCAGGGAGTGTGAGGGTGTCCACTCCCTCCACCAAATGCACCTCAGAGCAGGAGGTTCCTATAGGTTCTGCTTGTCAGGAGCACATCCCTGCATCCCTCTGCAGCCCAGGGGGACCCCAGGGCAGGGGGGGCACAGTGGTGGGGCTGCCAGTGCTGTGTGGGTGAGCGCGGTGCACTCAGCTGGTAGGGAGATGAGTAATGCTCTCCTCCGGCCAAGCCCACAAGCTGCTAAGTTTAGCAGTGATTTGTGTTTTTCCAAGCTGCCTCGAGTCCCTTGGTGATTCAGAGCCGCCCAGCTTTGCTACCCCAGCTGTGTGAATGTGTTGGGATGGGGCCAGCACGGATGCAGCCGGGACTGTCCCAGTTCTGGACCGTGAGGCAAAACATGGTGACACCACATCACTGGGACTTGGGGGTGCCAGGGTGCGAGCGCCCTTTCCCTTCCTGTCTCTGCTCCTCTCTCCTCTCTGCCTGTAGTCAGGGAGTGCACGGTGATGCCAGCCCCTGCCCATGCTGTCCCTACAGGAATGCCCTAGGGCTGGTCCCTGTGCACCAAGCCCTGCAGCACCCTTCCTGCCAAAACGGTTTGGGGGGCGCAGTCACATTCTGCCCCAGCCCCATGTGCTGCATCTGCCCCTGCTGGGACCACGCTGCTTGGAAGATGCTGAGTGTGACATTCCTCTGTCGGCCTGGGTCTGGAGTGGTGCTTTTCCAGCCACACTGGGTTTGGATTTCTATGTGCCTCACTGAAAGCCGTGTGCCTGGAGGGTGACTCAGAGTGGGCAGCAGCCCAGCAGTGCTGGCAGTGGGCAGCCAGAGCTGGCAGACAAGGGGTGATAAGGACCGGCCAGTCCCACTCAGTACCAGGGTGCAGGGCAGTTCCCAGCCGCTGCCTGACCTCCCACTGCATCACTCATGGAAGCAGGGAGTCTATTTTGGGAATGGCATCACTGGGAAAAACTGCTGCATCAACAGCATGTGAAGTAAAGCAGTTGCGGACAGTGTTTTCAAAATGCCTGTTTTCCATCCCAGCTTTTCTCCTGGGCATGGGCAGCCAAGCAGCAGAGGATGCTGTGAGGGTAGAGTCTGGCTGGGTGCTTCCCTGGCATGGAGGGGACCCGCACCCCCCAGCACATCCCACAGCAGCCAGGCCCCGCGCTCATCCCCCTGGGAACACCCTCTAGATGTGATGTGCCAGTAGCTGCTGGAAAGGTCTCGCTCCCACGCTCTTCTCATGGTCCAAGTCAAGCTGCAAACTGCCCTCTCCATCTCTGCAGCCTGCAGGGTCCCCTTCCCCTGCGTGCCACCAGCCCTGCCAACGTGGCACGCTGCACAGAGTGGCAGAGAACAAGTGATGCTGCACCCAGCACCCGTGCTGTGCTAAGGAGTGTGTTCAGAGGCAACACTGTGCTGTTCCCATCTCAGGCAGCTCATTAGGGTGTCTGGGACCTGAGCTGCTGCGGAAATGTGGGTGGGCTGAGACGGGATTAGAGGCAGCTGGGAAGTCCCACTGCCCCGTGGTTAGCACAGGGCTGCTGCTGGCTCAGAACAAGGCTCCATATGTGTTGGTTTTCCCATGGTCGTATCTTCTAAACCTCTGCTTGTGGCTGCTGCTGGACCAGGCAGCCTGGGAGAGGTGGGCATGGGGCAACCAGGCTGGTGGTGGGGCCAAAGGAAGAGTAGGGCTGGTGCCCCAAGGAGTCACGATCCCTGGCTGTGTGCTGGGGGCTGCAGGGCTGAGCTGCACGCAGCGTGCTGGCTGACGTGCACAGCGTGTTCTCAGGGCCGACTGCTTGTCTTCAGTTGAGAGGGTTCACAAGCAAGAAACCAGCCACTCCATCTCCCAGTCAATCACTCTGTTTGCTGAGGAAGTGCGAGCTGGAAGCCGCTCTGCTGCAGTGATTTCCGTAACCCCGCCGCTGCCCCTGTGCTGATTCATTGATTTGGACGGGTTATATACTGGGAGGGGAAGCGTGAACCGCACTCGGCGCTCCTGCCAGCACGGAGCTGTGCTCGCTCAGCGCTCACGGCTGCAGGACATGGGTAAGTCTCCCTTCTGCTGTAATCTCCCCATCCCCAAAGCGGCCCTCAGGCCCCCGGGAGCCCCCAGAACATCACCGCGGGGTGGGAGCATGGCTGGCTGGTGTGCACACTGAGCACCTTTTGGTGAGTTGGAGGTATTTATCCTACAAGGGTTCAACAAACTGAGTTAGGGGGGCAAAGCTTCTTAAATGATAACCCATAAAGAATGTGAAAGGAGGGGCAGAAATTTAGGGGGGCTGAGGTTAGAATCGCTTGGATGCTGAGGGGTTGGGTGTTCAACCCCTTGGTCTGCAAGCTTTTGTCCCTTAAAAGAGAAAGGGAGGTAAATTGCTTTCAGCTGTCTTTCCTGAACTGCCCTCCAGTTGGATGCTCCACGAGCTCACTTACAGGGAGTGACATGAGCTGTGCTTTTGATGTGCAAAGCATTTGGTGGAGTTTATAAGCTGCTTGCTATAAACAAAACTGTTCTGGGATGCAGATTGTTTCCATATGTGAGCCATAAGCCGTGCTGGTTGCAGAGGGCTCCTCCCTCCCCTCCAGCAACAGGCGCTTCCCTGCACTCTGTGAGCTCCCAGCCGTGCCTGGCTGAGCCCTGCTTTGTGCCTGGGAAGCGCAGGTTTCCTCCTGCCATGTGCCACTGGGAGCTGCCAGCCAGGCACAGACTGCTGCTGCACCCATGGGTGGGCTTCCAGAGCAGGATGGAGGGGAGAAAGTCCTTGGTGTGTGCAGATAGATGATGGCATAGCAAAGCACTTTTCCTCCAGTAGCTCCTGTGGCAGCCCTGGGCTCTTCTGGTGCTGGTGACTGCTGGTTTGGGGCTCTCCACCTTTTGGGGATGCTGGCAGGCTAGCAGCACCAGGACCAGCTCACCAAGCTCACTGCAAAACAGGAAACCACGCTCCCAGCTGCTGGAGGAGCGGGGCACGCCAGGGATGCCACTAATAGCTGTGGTGTGACAGCGAGACGCCGCAGCCGGCTCTGCCCTGCCTGGCCCAGAACTCCTGGGGAGGAGTGTGTCCAGCCCTGGGAAGGCAGCACCCATCCCGAGGTGGGCAGTGAGCCTCCTACTTTCTTTTCTCCACAGGCCCCATGGAGCAGGGAGGTTGGTGGCTGCTGCTGCTGCTGCTGGGCTTCCACCCGGTCCGCGGGCAGTGCCCGGAGCAGTGCCAGTGTGTCCGCACTGCCCAGGTGGAGTGCTCGGGCGCCGGCATCACCGCTGTCCCCAGCCCCATCCCCGCCAATGCGGTGACCCTGCAGATCGTCAACACGCGCATCACCGAGCTGGGCGAGGCATCCTTCGGCAACGCCTCCCTGCTCATCGGGCTGCGCATCGAGAAGAACGACCTGCAGCACGTCAGCCCCGACGCCTTCCAGCACCTGCCCGACCTGCGCTACCTCAGCCTGGCCAGCAACAAGCTGCAGGAGCTCCCGGTGCAGGTCTTTCAGCCCCTGGGCAAGCTGGAGTCGCTGCTCCTCTCCAGCAACCAGCTGCTCCGCGTGGAGCCCGACCACTTCGCTCACCTGAGCAACCTGAAGGAGCTGCAGCTGCACGGGAACAATCTCCGGGAGCTGACGGAGGGGCTGTTCGACCAGCTCGCCAGCCTCACCAAGCTCAACCTGGCCCGCAACAACCTCGACCGCCTGCCACCCCGCGCCTTTGAGCGGCTGCCCCAGCTGCAGGTGCTGCGGCTCTACGAGAACCGGCTGCGGCACATCCCGGCGGGCGCCTTTGATGCGCTGCCCGAGCTGCAGGAGCTGGGCCTGCACCAGAACCAGCTGGAGACGCTGTCCCCGGAGCTCTTCGTGCACAACGGGAACCTGCAGAAGCTCTACCTCTCCAACAACCTCCTCACTGCCCTGCCCGCCGGCATCTTCCTGCCGCTGCGTGCCCTCTCCAAGATCACCCTGCACGTCAACCGCCTGCACGACATCTCCCCGGCCGCCTTCGGCCCCATGCCCAACCTGCGGGAGCTGTGGCTCTATGAGAACGAGCTGGCCGCTCTCCCCGCCGCCGTCTTCAGCAATCTCACCCAGCTGCAACTCCTGGTGCTCAGCAAGAACCAGCTCCGATCGCTGGCTCCGGGGGCTTTCCGTGGGCTGGGTGAGCTGCTGGAGCTCTCGCTGCACTCCAACGCCCTGCGCCGGCTGGATGCTGGGGTGCTGGGGGGAATGCCCAAGCTGCAGAACATCTCCCTGCAGAACAACCGCCTGCAGACGCTGCCCCGCGGCCTCTTCGCTGCCACTCCGAGGCTGCAGCACATCCAGCTGCACGCCAACACTTTGGAGAGCCTGCCTGCAGGCATCTTCTCCCCGCTGTCCGCCGTGCGGGAGGTGAAGCTGCACAACAACTCGTGGCGTTGTGATCAGGCCATCCTGCCCCTGCGTGCCTGGCTGGAGGCGAACCCCAGCAAGGTGGGTGAGACCCCCCCCGTGTGCGCCCAGCCGGCCCCGCTGCGGGGAACACCCATTGCCGAGCTGCAGCAGGACCAGCTACCCACTGCCCGGCCCAGCAGCCCGCTGCCTGCCCGCCCCTCCCAGGAAGCGTTGCCGTCGGGGTCCCCCACCACGCTGCCGGCCACCCCTGTGTCTCGGGAGGAGGAAGAGGAGGAGGAAGGCAGGGGGTGGTGGGGGCTGACGCGCACGCAGAGCGCGGTGGTTGGGGCCGTCATCGTGCTGGTGTGCGTGGCCCTGCTCTGTGCCCTCGTGGCACTGGTGGTGTACGGCTGCAGAAAGAAGAGCCACGTGGTGCTGATGAGGATGAAAGCACCCAATGAAGCCTGATCCCCCATGAGCCCCGGGGGCAGTAGTGACCAGAGCTGGATGGACAGCATCACACCATGTGCCAAGTCTCCCATGCTGCTCTGCTTCACCGTGCCCCTGCTCTGCAAGCAGGGTGTCAACTATGGATGCCCCCTTGGCTCCCCTGTCCCCAGCCCCTCCTGCCTCTGTACTCAATCCCTTCCTGGGGCCAGGATCCAGAGTACAGGGTGCCAAGTAGCAGAGCAGGGAGCAGCAGCCTGGCCACAGAGCACTGGGACTCCCCCTCCCTCACCTCACATCATTTCCTTGAGTTGCCCCCAGCCCCATGCCCTCAGCCACAGCCTGTGCTGAGATGTGAAGCCATCACACGGGGCCAGGATCTAAGCACACAGCCTCATCCCAAGCAGGGCTGTGTGTGCCTTTGCAGCTTAGCCCTGCAGGGCTGGGCTGCCTCTGCTTGGCTCGGAGCCTGGTGTGCTCCGTGGTGGCACACCCCAGTGACTTGGCCGCGTCCACGCTGCCCTCCCTGCCTGCAGGCAGCGTGGCAAGAGTGGAGCATCTTCCTCTGCCTCCAGCAGAGTCCTTGTCCTCACATGCCTGTGTTTCCCATGCCAACAGCACTATGGGACTACGTGTGCCCTGGGCATCCACCAACTGCAGCCCTGCCCAGAACAGCTGCACCCACTCCTCTCCCTATTCCCAGCCCTGAGAGTGCCTGCTCTGTGCCTGCTCCTGTTGCCTGCTCCCAGCCTGAATGCTGCTGCTGGCATAGGGCAGGCGGGCAAAGCCCTGAGGTCCAGCTATGGGCAGATGGGACTGCACTGCCCCAGCAGCTACTGTGCCTTCTCCAGCCAGCAAGGCACAGGCACAGCTTCATGTGTGGTACTGGGCCGTATGGGGTATGGCACTATGGGACAAGAGTCTCAATGCATGGTGCTGCTTGTGGTGCTCCAGGAGCCAATGCTGGCACAAGCAACAATGCAGTTGTGTGTATGTGATGGGATGGATGCTCTTCTGGGCTGAGACCTGCACGACAGCTGCAAACAGGACTGTGCCTCGGGGCCATTCGGTACTGCTCTGTGACCATTAAAGCACGGTTGTCCAAATCCAAGAGCTGTTTGTCTGCTTCTCTGTGGTGAGAGGCACCCTTGGTACAAGTCAGCAGGGAGAGGAGCTTTCAATTAGTGCCTCTCTCAAGTGATTTTTTCATGGTGAGAATAAGCCCATGCAGGCTGCTGGGACAGGGTGAGTGTATCATGGCTGCACAGCCCAGCTGGGCTGGGGTGAAGGAGGGCTTAGCCATTCCACTGCAGCATGACAGCTCTTGGAGGACTCATTGAGACCTTGGCAATCTTCCTGACACAATGCTGCACAGAGCAGGTCTTCCAAGGGTGCCTTCACTAATGGCCCTGCCCTCTGAACCATAGCACAATGGCCCTGAGGTGTTCCCCTGCACTAGAATGTTGCTCTTCTTCCTCTCTGTGCTGGTCCTCTCTTCTGGGCAAGGAACTCTTGCCAGTCTCATGTCTCAATGAGGCCAATAGAGCCCAAGGACATTCCTGTTGGGCTGCTGCATGTGGGCACACTGTGTTTGGTGTGGACCCAGTGCCACAACCCCAGGGCATGGCTGGGGCCATGGCTGTGATTCCCCACTGGGATGCCTGCCTGTGGCTGCTGCCCTTGCACCCCATGTGGATTCACCTCTGCTCCCAGGGGCTGGGCTGTTTTTTGGAGTGCTCCAAGGACACGGGTTGTTGTTGCTGATAAGCGGAAAGGGGCAGCTCCACCCCAGCAGGAACATGTTGTCAGCTGCCTCCACATCCGCCCCAGGACACATCTTCCCTTCTTGGAGAGTTTCACTCCTCGCAACAGGCTGTGTGCTCCCTGCGGTGGTTGTCCCTGTGATGCCGCTCTCGGTAAGTGGCAGCTGTAGGCTGTGGGACTCAGGACAGGGGTGTAGGGCAGGTAGGGAGTGCTGGAACCACTTCGGGTGTTGGGAGGGAAGGTTGGGCCCAACACTGCCCTGCAGCACTGCCATAAGGCCAGAACCCCCCCAGCTGCAGGCATCTCCATGTGGATGCCACCGTGGTGTGGCAGGATCCCCATCGCAGCACTGTGCTGCTCACCATGAGCACAGCACCATGGGGTGTTCCAGCTCAGCCCTTGCACGTGTGCAGGCATGTGCCCTTAGCAGGAGCTCAGGCTCCAGAACGTTATTTCAAAAGGAAGTGTTGGATGAGCAATTAGGAACACTACCACTCAGCCGAGCGCAGCGGGCCCAGCTGCCCTGCAGCAGGGGCTGAGGCCACGCTCCTCCTGCAGTGCAGCGAGCTGCTCCCTGCCGTGCTGGGACTGGGGGCCCTGCTGGTCTGGGGGCTGCCCTCGCCCTGCCCCCTGCCCTGCCAGTGCTATGGCCGTGCCAGCGTCTTCTGCTCAGAGGAGAGGATGAGGGAGATCCCAGCGGGCCTGCCTGGCAATGCCACACAGCTCTTCTTTGTGGAGACGGCCCTGAGCCACATCCGGAGCGGTGTGCTGGGCCCCAGCACTGCCCTCACCAAACTGGTGTTCATCAACAATAACATCCAGGAGCTGGAGCCCGGCGCCTTCCGCGGGCTGCCCGGCCTGGCTGAGCTGGAGCTGTCGGGAAACCCGCTCCCATCCATCAGCCCAGAGTTGCTGAAGGGGCTGCCCAGCCTCACCCTGCTGTCCCTCAGCTCCAATGCCTTCTGCTCTCTGCACCCGGAGCTCTTCACCTCTGTGGGCAGCCTGCAGGACCTGCGCCTGCAGGGAAACAGGATTAAGGCACTGCCCCGTGACATCTTCCACCCCCTGCAACATCTCCAGGCCTTGGACCTCTCTCAGAACGTGCTGGCTGAGCTGCCTGAGGGACTACTGGCCCCTCTCACTGCTCTGCACGTCCTGAAGTTGAGCAACAACATGCTGGCACGGCTGCCACCCCGTGCCTTTGTAACACTAACCCAGCTGGCCGAGCTGCACCTGGATGGCAACCTGCTGGTGGAGCTGCCACCTGGTGCCTTTACTGGGCTGGCGGGGTTGCGGCGGCTGCAGCTGCAACACAACGCCCTGGGCAGCCTGGCCCCTGCAACCTTCTCTGGCCTCACCAACCTTACCTCCCTCAGTCTGGAGGGGAACCGCCTGGCCCAGCTGCCTGCTGCCCTCCTCCAGGGCACCCCATTCCTCCTGCACCTCTCGCTGGCCCGCAACCACCTGCAGACGCTGCCCAGGGGCCTCTTTGCCAACCTATCGGCGTTGCAGAGCCTGGCGCTGGAGCACAACGCCCTGTCCCACCTTCCTGCTGAGGCCTTCCATGGGCTGGCAGAGCTCACAGCACTGCAGCTGGGCCGCAACAACCTCTCCGTGCTGCCTGCTGGGCTGCTGGATGAGCTGCCCCGCCTGACATCACTGGGACTGGAGCACAACCGCCTGTCCCACCTGCCCACGGGCTTCTTCGATACCAACGAGGAGCTGGTGCGCGTGGGGCTGGAGAGCAACCCCTGGGTGTGTGACTGCCGCCTCGCCTACCTGCTGAGCTGGCTGCAGGTGTTTGCCGAGCCCCTAATCCACCTGCAAGCTTCCTGCACCGGCCCTGCTGCTCTCATGGGACGGCCCCTCCTGGAGGTGACCCTCCGGCCGCAGGTGTGTGCTCGCCACCAGGGCCGGGACCAGACGCCTGGGGAGGGCACACCAGGGCAGTGCATCTACAGCGACCCCGAGGGCACCCTGCATATATCCTGCAATGCCACGAGCTGCCAGCAGCTCAGCCTTCGCCTTCCTCCTCCTCCTCCTGGGGAGACAGCACGGCTGGGGCCCAAGTACCAGGGTGACTGGGTGCTGCGCTCCTCCTGCGGCACACTGCGGGTCAGCATCCTGGTCACGGTGCGGGATGGAGAGAAGGATGTGGCACCTGGTGTCCCTGCTGCGCCTTAGGGCACGGCACTCTGCTTCGTGCTCAGCGGGTTGGTGCAGCGATTTCAGCCTGGGGAATGACGACGTTTTCTGCTCTGATGTCCCCACCGAGGTCACCAGTCTCAGGAGCGGGACTGCTAACAGCATTTATTCGCCCAGCCCAGCCACACACTCCTCGTGTATTTCAAATATCATTAAAAAGTAGATATTAATTACCCGTGTGCAGCCATTTCCCACAAGAGAGGGTGGAAAGATGCACGTAAAGCGGCTGCGATCGCGTGGGGACGTGCCTGGGTGCCCTGATGTCCCGCTGCCCAAACACACGCGGGCGCTGCTGCCGGCTGCTGCTGCCGGCGGCGGCCGGGTGCCCGGTCCCAGCTGAGCCCTTCGCCCCGACGGCGCTGCGGCCGTACCGTGCCGTGCGGTGCTGAGGCTCCACCTCGTGGCCGACGGGCCGGGGCGATCCGGGCACCGGCAGCGAGGGGTCGGCCCGGGAACGACGGCGCCCGCCCGGCTGTGCAGGCTGGAACCGTGCGTGGAGCGCGAGCCTCACGGGGTCGGCACTGGAACGCGGTGAGACGCATGGGAGAACGCGGTGTGCTTTGCCATTTGCCTGGAAACAGAGCCAGGCGAAGCACTAGCTGAACATAAATAAGAGCAAGCGAAAACAAAAAAGGAAATGTTTAACTGCAGTTCGTCCTAGGAAGCATTTCGTTGCTTGTCATTTCAAACAATTCCCCGAATCAAACAGGGCATTTCCTTCACGAGCTCCTCCACACCTGCCAGCAGCCCCAGGTGTCCCCAGCAGGGCCCCTCTTCATGCTCTCGGCCAACACCAGCCCACAGCCAGCTGCCAGGACACCCAGTGCTGGCTGTGTATCTGCCCGGCAGGGCCACATCTCTCATCCTTGCTATTGGTGAAACAAAAGGCTTTGGAGCAGTGCCGTTAAGCTACATCAGCTACTTCTTGAGGAAGGAAAACCTTGCCGGTCTAGAGAAGTTTGGCTTTCCCTGGATGTGAATGGCCAAGTGGTGCAGGCAGATAACGCCTGGGAGCAGGCTGCATCCTCGCCGGGGTGCCTGGGCTGCTCCCCACACTGTGCTGGGCGTTATCTCCCCCGGCAGCCCCAAAGCCAGGCCCCATGCCTGGCCACGGATAAGGAGATCCCCCCAGGTGATGGGACCCTTTGTCCTGTGCCTCACTCCCTGCACAGCGCAGCGTGCTGACAGCTGGACTTGTCTGGGAGCACTCAGGTAAGTGACGTGAAAATGTGCTGGGAGGGGCGGTTCTGGGATCTATTTCCCTGTGTCCCTGATCCTGGGACCACTTCTGATCTCTGAAGCTTTGCTTGTGAAGGTTTGCAAGTGTTTGCTGCTGTTGTGTGGGTGAGCTATTGCCCTGCTAAGCGTTGGTCTCTTCCTTCTATTGCTGTGATACATGAATAGAAGGGTTGCTGATTGCTGAACGACAGTGTGAGCAGCTCATGAACTGTGGACTCGCATTTTGTTGTTCTTCATAACCAACTTTTGGAACCCTTTTTCCAGGACAATGAAGCAGCATTTCCTTTTCCTTTTCTTCCTCTGCTTCCATCCCCACAAATGCCAAAGTCAAACCTTGGGTGCAGATCCATATGAAATGCCCAAAGATTACCAGGAGGTCTACAGAGGGTCCAAAAATGATGTCAAGGAGATCCCAAAGATTGCAAAGTCCTTCATTTCTGAGATGATCTTTGTGCAAACCAGCATCACTGCCATAAGGAAAGGCGCCTTCAGGTACATGCCCAACCTGACCAAGATTTTATTCATTAACAACAATATCAAGACAGTTGAATCTGGGGCCTTTGATGGTTTGGAGAAACTGAGGGATTTGGAGATCTCTGGTGCCTCCTTAGAAGAACTAGCTCTGGGCACTTTCCAGAACCTTCCAAACTTGCAGAGGCTGGAGCTGAGAGACAGCCACATCAGACGCATCCCCAAAGGCCTCTTTGAAGGGCTGGGGAATTTGGGAGAGCTGTCCCTGCACATCAATGCGATTCCTTCTCTTCCAGAAGGTATTTTTGATTCTCTTGCCAATCTGACATTTTTGGATCTGGCTAGAAACAGGATCACCATTCTGCCTGGAGATGTCTTCAGCAAACTGCCCCAGCTGCAAGTCCTCCGGCTGTATGAGAACGAGCTGCAGGA